AAGGCGGCGCGGCCGAGCCTGCCCGGCCGGGTGTCCGTCTCGTCGCCGGGTTTGTCTCCCTTCTCTTGTCTGCCCACCCTCTGGTGGCCGTCGGAGGCCGTTACAGAGCGGGGCGGAGGACAGGGACGGTGGTTGGGTGAGGCCGGGTCTCTGCGCCCTGTTGCCCTCAGCTGTGTGTCTGCTGGGAGAGAAGAGTTTTTTTCGGTGTATTTTGAGGAACCTGTGTTGCCTCGCTGTGCGTAACGGCTTCCACCAGCACAATAAATGCCTTCTTGTAGGGGGCAGGAAAAGGAGAGTTTGTCTCTTCCAGTGTTTTTGAACTTAGTCAAATTTAAATGAAAATTGAAGGTGACCAAAGTTTGCTGCAGAGGGAGCTTTAAAATAATTGAGGCATTTAAAATAATTTCATGTATCTCTTCATGTGTTTTCTTACAGCTGTGTTTCTGTGCATTCTGAAGCAGAGAAGTTAAGGTGGTAGAACCAGAGCAGTTCTCTGGTGTTGGTGAAGTCATAGAGCTCTACTTAAGAGAGAGCTGATAAACAAGACCTTTATTTTGAATGCTATGACATGTTAAAAAGAAACATGCTTTAAGGCAAGGCACCATGGCCTTTGCTCAGTTTCTTTGAGGTAACGTGAGTTTAGCTCAATCTCTTTAAATAAAATGTGAATGTAAATGTCAGCAAAGTATAAAACAGTACTCTGTTATAAGCCTGGGCTAAGTAAGACCATGACTGGAGAACTAAAGCAAAATTGATTCAGTATCAAATAGTTTAGAATTAATAATGACAAAAGATTGCACTGTTGCCAGACAAATAACAGAAGTAGATTTCCCTTGTCTTGTTTCTCTTTGAGAGCCTTTACAAGGTTGGAGCATACTAAGCAGGCACAGGCTGGCTGGAAGGAACAAATGGCTTTACTGTCATGGCCGCTACCTCCTAGAAACGTGGGGTTCTTGCTCACTTTGGCCTTCGGTTGCTCTGGAGGGGATGAACGTCACTGCCACCAATTCCAGTGGCTTCCACTGAGCCCTGCGTTTGTAAGGAGAGACTTAGTATCATCTTGGTTCCTCCTCCTCGATGTCAGTTCTTTCCCCCTTTGTTTCTTTTCCTTTCTACATTTGGCTCACCAGAAGTTGTCTGCTGTCTCAGCAGGCTGCATCTTCTGCAGCACTAGCACCAGAATGCAGCTGAAAGCAGTGCTCTGAGCAGTCTAGGTTGGTCATGTTGCATGGAAGCAGGTGGGAGAATATTCTGTATGTGTACTTCAGCATCAGCAAAGCCTCAGTAAAAGAGGAGGCTTTGTTTTCTTTATCTGGTGATCTTTCCAATTATGTGTGTGTCTCCTTTCTTTTCCTCCCCCTTACAGGAAAAGAGGATTTGACTTCTGTGACTGCTTAACTAATTATTTTTTTCTCTCCTACTGTTCCAGCCAAGACACCATGAAAGATTTTTTTATATTATTTTAAATGTGTTTTTTCCTTTTTTTCTGGATTTTGAAACTAACATTGTAATTAAAGAATTAATTTTAACTTTAATGAAACACAGTAGTTTTCATTTATAAACATTAATACAGTGCACTAAATATATGCATAGTTTTGAGCAAGACTTAAGCCTGTTTGAAGCAGTGGCAATTGCTGGAAAGGTAACAGGGCCAAGCAGGCAGCTGAGGGATTTTTTGGGAAACATTTATTTCAAGGAAATTGGAGAAACAGCACAGTCTACATAAAACTTTTTCTGTATCCTGTAGTAGTCTCGTTCCACAAAAATATACCTACCTAACTTAAAGTACTTAGAAGTATCTGTTGAATTCAGACCTTTACTAAATTGGGGTGTCAATTGTGAATGTAAATTGCTATTACATCATTTAAAATTTACATGATTTGTTGGACCAGGTAACTTACAATGAGGTGATAGTAAAGTCATTCTGCCTGAACTTTAGAATCATGTTCTATGGATGACAATTGCAGTTGTTAAAATGAGTGGTTCCTTTGGTGTGTGCTATCTGAAGGCTTTATCTCAAAGTGTCTAATGAGTACTAGTAGAGGTGCTTGTATCCTTGGCCAGTTGTCATATCAATCATTTGTTGAAATTAACATTGCCCTAAGTCAGAGAACATGGTCCAGTTTGGGTTCTGGATTAAAGACAGTAGAGCGCTTTTGTGGATTAGAGGCTTGAAGGAATCAAGTGGTCCGAGGAGCACAGAGCTCCCAGTGAAAGTCAGAGGACGTTGTTCACTGCTTCTGTTAAAGGAAACTGCAGAAACTGTAATTTCAGCGCTTTGGGAGTAGTTCCTGCAAATGCATTAAGGACATTACAAAAATTGTGTGACACTGGACTTTTCTTTTCCTCATTAAAGGTGAGCCATGTCTTTCCATTCGGGGCGAGGATGTCCCCGTGCTCAGGGGGGACCAGGAGCAAGAACTTCAACACAGACCTACCGCCCTCAGAATCTACGGCAGCTTCACCCACAGCAGTCCTCTGTACAATACCAGTATGACCAGCAAACTGCCCCTTCAACAACCTATTCAAACCCTCCAACTACTGGTTACATGCCTCCCAGGCCAGACTTTGTGCCCTATCCTCCTCCAGTGCCTCCCTCCACGCAAAATCCCGTCAGCCAGTGTCCCATGAGGCCACCATTTCCAAACCACCAGATGAGGCAGAGCTTCCCAGTGCCTCCATGCTTCCCTCCTGCTCCTCCGCCAGTGCCAAACCCTAGCAACACTCCCGTGCCTGGAAATCCTGCTGGGCAAAGCACCTTTCCTTACATGATGCCTCCTCCCGCAGTACCGCATCCTCCTCCACCACCAGTCATACCACAGCAAGTCGGTTACCAGCCTGTGTACTCCACAGGGTATTCACAGCCATCGTTCCCACCACCTAACTTCAATAGCTATCAGCACAGCTCTGGTTCCTTTCAGAGCACCACCACCAACAGCAGTAGCAGCAGCAGCCATTTTCGGCACACGGGTCAGTACCAGGGAGAGAAGTCGCAAAGTGATCGACGGTCTCCAGACAGGAGCAAGCACTACGATGAGCATCGACATCGTGAACATGGTCACATCCATGGGGACAGGCATCGGTCCACTAACCATGGGGATCGTCGGGATCGAGGCCGGAGTCCAGATAGGAGGAGGCAGGAAAGCAGTCGGCACCGGACAGATTATGACAGAGGAAGGATCTCGCCCCATCACAGAAGTTACGAGCGTAACAGGTAACTTGAGGTGTCTTCTACCTGCAGAGGATCATCATTGTCCCATAGTATTTTTTTGCATCAATGTTCTTCCTTTACCCTTGTTTTTCCTTCTGGCTTGGGATGTAGCCAGTACTCAGGTCTGATGGAAAGAGCTATTGTTTTGACACCTTTCAGGGATACTACTGCCTCACCTTTGCGAGCTGGCAGACTTGTTCCCTTTGTCTGTGGAGATAGCTGGAAGCAAAGAAGCTCTTGTTTGAAAGCAGTGGATTGCTGAGTAGTGCTCTACTCTCATGGGTATTTATCATAGAAACACGTGGCATGCAAGTAGGGTTGGCACAACTTTGTTCAAAAAACTGTGTTCGAAGTTGAGCCTTACAAAGGGTTAAGTCCCAGCACTTCAAAAAAGAAAGGTGACTTAATGTTTGCCACATAATTTCACAATTTATTGTTTAGATTTTAAAGTTCAGTTTTAAGTTTTGAAAATGCCTGTTTTCAGCAGCTTCTTTCTCAAACATCTGTAGATTACTACTTGAGGCCAACAGCTTCCAGTTCTACTTGACAATGTATCTGCTTATTTTAATGAGAACTGTTTGCTGGCCTTAGTGTGTTTTTCGCACAGCATTCATCTCTCAAGCAAATCACGTGGCGTAGAATATGCTGTCTCTGAAGACTGAAATCCATGCTTGAACAAGGCACAGGCAGAGAGGGATGAACGGGTGTGGGGAAGAATGATAGACAGTTTATATGAACTTTGTGCTTGTAAATTTGCATTCTATTTCAGGTTATACATATGGAAACATACATATATATGCTCATAAATAGTGTTGACTCATTCAGCCCACCAAACCACTTGACACACATATTTATAATTCCTTGGCTTATTTACTAGATTTGACAGATATGTTATTGGTAGTGAACTAATGAGTTGTCAGCTGTTAGCAGAGTATGAAAACTGCCTGTGTGATCTTTGCTGCCTCATGTACACAGTCATTTCATAGAACCATTTAGTTTGCAGAAGACCCTTAATAATCATAAAGTCCAGCTGTTAACCTGACACTGCCAAGCCCACCACTAAACTATGTCCCTAAGTGCCACGTCTACACGTCTTTTGAATACTTCCAGGGATGGTGACTCAACCACTTCCCTAGGCAGCCTGTTCCAGCGCTCGATAACCCTTTGGTTGAAGAAATTTTTCTTTATATCCAATCTAAGCCTCCCCTGGCACAACTTGAGGCCATTTCCTCTTGTCCTGTCACTTGTTACTTGGGAGAAGAGACCAACACCCACCTTTCTACAACTCCCTTTCAGATACAGAGTGATAAGGTCTCCCCGCAGCCTCCTTTTCTCCAGGGTAAACAACCCCAGTTCCCTCAGCCTCTCCTCGTAACACTTGTGCTGTGGACCCTTCACCAACTTTGTTGCCCTTCTCTGGACACGCTCCAGCACCTCAATGTCTCTCTTGTAGTGAGGGGCACAAAACTGCACACAGTATTTGAGGTGTGGCCTCACCAGTGCTGACTCCAAAGGGATGATCACCTCCCTGCTCCTGCTGGCCACACTATTGCTGATACAAGCCAGGATGCTGTTGGCTGCCTTGGCTGACAGTAGAGCACCACCCCCAGGTCCTTTTCCACTGGACAGCTTTCCAGCCATACTTTTCCAAGCCTTCAGTTAATTTAAAGCTCTTTTGCCCCAGAAATATGTTTGTGTGGTCAAGTTCTTTATGTGTATGTGCAAGTTGAGTCTTGTAGATCAGATTCATAGTTTCAGCATGATGCAGATTTTCTGTGTCTGTCAGTTTTTTGTGTGTGCTTGAGGTGGCGGTCAGGAAGAGAGGCCTTGCCTGAAACACTTGAGTGACTGCTGTGCTTACAAAGCTATTGTGCATGGATTAGAATAATTTTATCCTTTGCCATTTGTAACAGGAGAAGAGGAAGAATGGCAACAAGTCCTGTGGTGAATTTATAGAAGTTACCTCTGTATGGTATGAATTAACCATTGTATTGAGATAGATACCTTTGTGACAAAGGTGGAGGAGATAGGTGACTGTCTTTGACAAATTTCTTCAAGGTCAGCATTAAGAATGTCTGGGTTTTTAGCAGTCAGCCTCTGTGTGTCATTTTGCATAACGTGATCTCAGCCACCTTCTGTGCTCCTTTCAGGTGTGGAATGTATGAAATGCCAGATTTCTCATTTAACTTCTGTTTTGAACTCTCCAAGGGAACGGGAGAGGGAGAGGCATAGACACCGTGACAGCAGGAGATCACCATCACTAGACAGATCATACAAAAAAGATTACAAGAGAGCAGGAAGGTAAGGAAGGTTACGTTTGGTCTCGTGTATGCATCCACGTGTGTGTTTTTGTGTATGTATATGTGCATACATGCCTGGTTTGAAACTTGGAAAAGTTGAGTGTCTTAAATTTATCACCATCTGCTTATGCATGCAAATGTCAGTTATCTCAAGACCTTGTAGAGTTAGAAACAGGATTAATCTCTCAAGACACTGCTGTGTCAAAAGACTTCCTCTTACCTCTACTTCGAGCCTGTAAAGTATCAAGATTAGAGTAATTCTCGGTTTAGATCGTCTTTTAGGAGCTTTTTTTATATTGATGCTCCTTCCCTTCTGAATCCTGGGAGGCTGAAATCAGTGCACCATTATTGGCTTTGTAGGCAGAGAAGATAAAAAAAGTAGGTTTCCTACATTCATCTTTTGAAAGCATTGCTCTTGCAACACGTAAGGAATATCACAGGTTGCATTGTTCAAAGGAGTGCCAGAGCTAGAGTAACACAAACTGTGTATGTAGCTTCTGTATAATCCTTCTAATAAAAGCCTAATTCTTTTCTCATGCAAATAGTTTGTGGGCTATGTATTAAAACTTCTTTGTATTGTTATTTTTAGTTGTGAGTGATGTGACTTTTAGTTTTTAGTGATGAGTTTCCAGCTTTGAAACAAAATTAGAAGAAAATCATCTAGAATGCCAGTAGGAATTTAAATCTAAAATAGCATATATTTTTTCATTCTAATTCTTTAATAAGTTTTAAAATACAAAAGCACTTTCAATTTTAAGTAATTTTTTATAGTAGGTCAGAACTACAAAGTAGTCTGCTCTTTATGGTGCAAGTTAAAAGCAGGAAGAGGCAATTGGATTTTGCTGTAATTTATATAATAGAATGATGTACTGATCTGAAGCAAACTGTTTGTTTTTCATTATAAAACTGCCACATTAATAAAGACAATTGCTTTTGTTTGCTTTCTCCTGCTAAGCCGGTCTCCAAGCAGAGAGAGAAAGAGACCCCGATGGGAGGAGGACAGAGAAAGGTGGTCTGAGAACCAGAGCTCCAGCAAAGAGAAAAATTATACCACTATCAAAGACAAAGAATCAGAGGAGAATGCATCTGAAAAAAATGAAGAGGAAGATGAGGAATTACTTAAGCCAGTCTGGGTTCGCTGTACCCATTCTGAAAGCTACTATTCCAATGACCCTATGGATCAAGTGGTATGTTTGTGAGAGAACTCTAAAATTACTGTACACAGTCCTTTATTGATTATTTGGTTACTTGATTAATATGAACGCTTCAGCAGGGTTATCTTTTGTGTCATTTAATCCTCTCCTCACAACTGCCCTGTTAAAGGGCTTTAAATTCGTTGGTATCCTTCTCTATTTTCATCAGTTTCTTCTGCCTGTTTGCATTCAGATAAGTGGTACATGGAAAATGGGTTCTTTATTGCCTCCAGGAGGGAAGAATGGGTTTTTCTCCATTATACTTGTATTTGAGCAAAGACGCCTCAAGCACCGTATATTCCCACAACCTTGGAGAAATTTTGAACAGCAGCAGGAAGTCAGGATTCTTTGTACTTGACAGTAACACTTTCTGGTGGAGTAGTGCTAGAAGGAGGGAGGTTTCTGGGTTTTTTTATGTTTTTTTTGTGTTTGTGGTTGGTTGTGGATATTTTGGAGAATGACATGGAGAGTGACTTCATTGTGATTCAAAGCAGGCAACAAAATAAGCTAGCTTTTGTGGTACTTGTGTGTGATAAAATTATTTTTAATTGTAAAATACTTTTGCAGGTCTCCTATTCCTTCTAAACCTGTTAAAAGTCAATATTTAGCCATAATTCTGCTTCATTAGGCCAAAGGTTTGCTGGTAATGCACCATCAAATGAAGTAATTTCCCTGCTAATTCATCTGGTGGAGCCATGTAGTGTACGCTAAATCCTTAACAAATATTTCCATGTTTCATTGAACTACATGGATCTGTCTTTTCCCCTTATTGCTTTTAATCATGAAACGCTGGTACATATGGTGTCCGTGTGTTTAAACACTGTCTTTTTTTGTTGTTGTTGTTCTGTTTTTTAATTAACAGGGGGACTCTACTGTGGTAGGAACAAGCAAGCTCAGAGATCTGTATGAAAAGTTTGATGAGGAGTTAGGAAAGCGACAGGCAAAGGCCAAAGCAGCCAGGCCACCATGGGAGCCACCAAAGACCAAGCTGGATGAAGATTTAGGTAGGCAGAAATGATGACGAAGCTCTGAAATAGAACAATGTGTAGTTAACCTGGTCTTGGCAGTTGTGTGTATTTAATAATGTTGGTAGGTTAATCTGTGTGTTTTAAATTCTTCCTTTGCATTGCACATCCATGGGAGTTTTACTGTTGCTTTTGGCTGAAGTGGAGGTAGATTCTTTACCCAGAAGGCCTAAGGGAAAATGGAGAGTATCCAGCACTGCCTTGTGCTAGAGTCTCTTCTATAGCATGAAAGCACCCTGAGTGTGATCAGATAGGCCAAAGCATGATCAGTTACATGCTGGCAGTATAAAAAAATACAATCAAGATGAAAGAAAAAGACAAACGCAGATTAAATAAAATGTGAATTCACTTTTGTAAAGGAAACACTTTTTTCTTTTTTTTTTTTTTCTTGAACAGCAGATATGCGCACATTTAAATTCATTCAAGAATCACTAGCAAAGGTAATTGTAGGGTTTTTCAAGGGGTATATTTTCATGCGGATGAAGCAAGGACAAAACTGCTGCATTCAATGTACCTGTGTAAAGCTTCACTTCCTCAGATCTCTGCAGAAAGAGTTCCTTTGCTGCTCCAGGCTAAAATGTGATAGGGCCAAGAGCAACATATCTGTGTTTCTTCTTCCACTCTTTCTGGAGGACCCAAAGGCTCTGTGTCTGCCCTGGTCCCCTGGGCTGACTTGGTGTCTATGCCAGTTTCTCCTACAGCCATGCTTCTATAGTGTCTAATAGTTTCGTGAAAGGCTGATTTCAATACATGAAATCCAAAAGTTGTGCATTGGGCTTTCAGAACTCCAGGTTACTCTGACAGGTGCACTCATTTTGCACCTAAAATTAAACTTATACAACTGATTAATGTTTATCAGAGAACTTTTAAAACTCAAGTGTTTGCAAAAATTTGTAGGAATATACGTGTATGCCCATTTAGACAAAACTTGATTTCAACTGAGTGTATATGTCCTATGTAAACCATATGTCCCAAGGACATATTTTTAATAACATCTTATACTGAGTTAGGGACTGTATAAAAATACATCTTGATTTAGAATAAAAAAGGGAAACCTATTTTACTATTCTCTCACCTCTCTCCCTTTTGTTTTAACTAAGGCGAGTCTTGTATTCAATAAACACACGTATTTTAAAACATAGTTTCACAGTATTTCAAAGCACTGGTACTGTAATAATATGTTTTCTCTTAAGTCAAAATTTAGAAATGGAAGAAATGTTGCATCCCTCCTTCCAAGAATAATATACCATGACACAAGCAAGGTTTATGTCTTGGCTATGAAGGCATTTGTTTAAATTGGAGCTCAGGAGATCTGTGGAAATGAATGCATAAGAAAGGGAGTCACTTTTTAAGTGCCACAGGAGGTTAGAGATGTGTGAGATAGGGCTCTGGGTTTTTTTTGTGGATGTGTTTTGTTTTGTTTTAATTAAGTCCAGACACTTACTACATTACTTTGACAACACCACAAAGGAGACAAGTCTACACCATCTTCTGTTATTTTTTTCTTTAGTATTGTTCTCCCCTATGATACATCAGAAAAATTATTTCAGTAAATACAAAGAAAAATGTCTTTAAAAAAAAAAAAGTAAGGAGGAAAACTCACAGAACAGGGCTTCCAAAAAACTTATGACTGGATTCACTCAGCGAGTAGTTCCAGGTTTTCTTCTTGTCTGTGCTTTCTAATATGTGATAATGGATTTATTAGAAATGATTGACAAATGAATCTAACAGTATATGTTCTATAATAGTTCTACACATATGTGCTGTTTCAAAACTCTTAAATAGACAATGTCCTGCTACTGACAGAAGCATTTTTGGGTGAAATGAAACTAGACCTAAGCACTTTGCTTATAGCAAGCAGAATTAACTTTTAAACAAGAGGTTCTGTTTAGCTCATGTGACCTTATGTGTATTCTTTCTCTGTTTTTTTCTTTTAACTTTATGGTAATACTTCTATTGATTATAGTTCTATAATCTCTACTGTCAAGTAGCTGAAATTGTTCTTCTACAACTGATCAATGATGCTCCTGGACAGCCAAACAGCTCGCTCTCATGCATGCAAACAAATGCGGTTGTTATAGGCATTAAATATCCATAGAATTTTCTGTCATTTTTAGTTAAAAATGCAGTTGCTGTCCCTCCTTTTGTTAGTGTGAATGTCATGCACAACTTCAATAACTTTCAGGATGCCACAGTTAGCGATGTCATGTTAGAGAATGCATTGATATTGGAGAAGAGGGTGTGTGGAAGGTTTTTTCACCTGACTTTATTTTTCCTGTGTGAATCAGAGACCTCCAGTGACTCAGACTGTGACTCTGAAGATGACAGCAGCTGCTCTAGCAGTTCAGATTCGGATGTTTTTGACGTCATTGCAGAAATCAAGCGTAAAAAAGCACACCCTGATCGTCTCCATGAAGAACTGTGGTACAATGATCCGGGACAGGTACAGTGAGAGGAAAAACTACTGTGTTTCTGAAAGTCATTCTCCCCTGTAGACTATAAATTTTGCCTTCTTGTCAAACGTGCTGAGTGACATCTATTTCAATATGCATTTTTTACCCCCCTTTTCTGTTTTCTCTCTCATCTTCTTCAAAGCACTTTGCTTTTGATTTTGAGACTGTGGTTCCAGCTCATGAATCCTGGGGATTATTCAACTGGAATCATGTCTGACAGTGTTAATAATACCTGAATTGCTAACAGTGTACTAATGCCTCTTAGCCCTGAGATAAAGGTTCACGGATGAATTCTGGGATGGCAAAAAAGCAGCATGTTTACCTCCTTTACAAATTTTTCACCTAAAAGCTTTCAGCTCATAATGATAAATAGTATTTTAAGTATGAAGTTAATGCTCCTAATTTCTCATCTAATGGTTCTTTTGTAATTGCATGGACGTTATAGTTCTCATTAAATGTAATTGTTGAGCTCATGGAGTGTTGTTTTGAATGTATACATTGCACAGAAGACTAGTTTTTGTTTGCAAATTGGCCACCTTCATCTTTCTTACTTAAATATTTTACAGTCTATTCTAACTCATTGTCAAATAGCATCTCAGTAAATTTTTTTTCTGCCACTTTGTGTGATGCATGAGTTTAGCATGCAACAAATCATAATATGAAGAGACACTGCAATGCTTATTGCCGCTGTGGTAATTCAAAGGTCTGTTGAATATTCTATTACAGACTCATATTTATGCTTCTAGTTTAAAAAAAAAAAACAACAACTAATAATAATTTGACTGAGCATAGCTGGCTGTTTTTGTTTGTACGGAAAGCAAAACTAGAGAACTGTTTAGGTACTTAACTAAAAAAATTGTGTAGCTCTTGGGCACGCTTCAAAGTAATGTTCTAGGCCAGAATATTAGCTAAATAAAAAGAAGTGGAATAACTGTGGGATTAATAGATCCGGGAATGTGTGGTTTATGAGTTGGCTGCTGAAAAACTTTCTTTCCCAAAAACTTTCTTGAGACTGACTCTTTACCTTTCTTGAAGGGGCTGAAATCAGATCATAGTGACCTTGTTAGTGCTGTACTACTTCTGAGTAGATTTTATTTGAAGATGTTTTGAAGTTTTCCTAGGTATTTATCTGGTATGCCAAAATGCTTTCTAACTATCACTACATAAACCAGAAAGGTTTGCTGTGCACATAAGCATGTACTAGTACACAGTCTGACATGGAACTAGATTTTTAGGATGGATCTTCCCAACCCTTCAATTGGGAGCAGTGTGTTTGTTACTTTGGATAATCTCCAGCAGTGCAGGCAGTTGCCAGAAAATAAATTGTTGAAGCTGAAGCCACCATAGTGTCTTTTTCCTTAGAAGTGTTATCTGCTTGCTTGTGTTGCCCTGTAGGTCAGAGAAAGTTAGAAGCCATTGCCTATGTAAAATTGTGATCTTTCTACATCATTTTATACACTTCATGATTGCTTTTCTGCATTTTTTTTCCATGAGCGGTGTCACTAGGGACAAGGTAGATGTGTATCTGACTTGCTTCTCAAGTCCTGGGCTTTACAGATACTTCACTTCTCTCTGTTTTGGTGTGTGCATTTAATGTAACAGAGGCAGTGTTAGTGCTGAACAGAGCTAAGAATTAAGGATGAGATTTTGAAAAATAAGTGATGATCATTTTAATAGCCGCAGTGCACCCTTATTTTTGCGGGAGTGATGAGCAATGTGGCTATATAAGCCAGTGAGGAAGTACACTTTTATCTCTAAGCGTGATTGAGTTTCACTGAGCCTGTACTTTCTCCTCAAGGGTCTCAGAGTGAGTGTGGAAAAAAAAATGCTAAACAAAAAGCCATCATGTCACTCTGTTGTTAAAGTTGCGTGACTAAGTTCCCAAAGGAGTAGAGAAGTGCTTTACTTCTTGTGTTCCTTTGCGTGTATACGTTGTGCCAGACTAAAGAAATTAAACTGAGATGAACATTAAGAGAAGTAGTATCAAAACTAAGAAGTTGTGTCCCTCTCTCAACTGTCTAAAGACAACATTAACACCAGTTTGGTGGTTCTTGCTTCCTGAGATATCTTCACGTTATTTCTACTGTGTGATGATGCTAGTTAGTTCCACCGTGGATGCTGTTTACATTTTCAGGCTGTTTATAATGGCATGGAAAGTTCTACTGGTTTTTGTATTGCTAGGTTGTTGGGATTTTTCCAAGTCTAAAAAAAAAAGGTCTTAGTTCTTGGATTCAAGCTTTGATAAACTCCATTAAAGCCTCGGGTTGGGAACTTAATTTGTTTCTCAGATTTGGTTCTGGGGTTTTTTTAATTGGATTTCTGCAGTGTGCATGATGTTAAGAGCAGAAAGCTTTAGGGTATTGCAGTAATCGATAGTCTGCATAGAACTTGGTCATAAAAGTGAAAAGACAGACACCAGCTTTTTTACTGTGTGCAGTGGCTCTTTTTGGTATAGCTACTTGATGCATCCAGACAGAATACTGAAGTGGGTATTTTCCCCCCCCTTCCTCTTTTTTACTGATCTGTTCACGGGATGGATTTGAAGTGTTCCCATTAGTTCTTTAAAATATCAAGTAAAATCTTCAAGTGGTCTGCTTTGCATCGTTCAGGTGATAGCCTTGCCACATGGCGGAGGGGTTAGTCAGGGATGGCATTTCAGACAGTGAATTTAGTGGAACTATTTGAATGTTGAAATTTCAGCCTGGAAGCATCTGCATGTGCATGTTTAGGGCCTGAATTTTGTTTTAGGCAGTGTGCTGTCTGTACGTATAAAAAATGGAAAATACGTATATGATAGTAGAGTGGTACAATTCTGCTGAGAGCATTTTTCCATCTAGTGCTTCTGAAACAGTGATGAAGTTCTCATGCTGTTGTGCAGTTTTCTTACGTTAATCTACACTGTTTTCAGTTTTATTGGTTTTAGAACATCCACTTAATCGAAGCATGACAGGCTTTTAGAAGCATCAGCACTCCGGGCATTAAAGCCAACATACTTTTCCAAAACCGTTTTTCAATAGAAACAGAATCCTATTTTGGTTTTTGACAGATGAATGATGGACCTTTGTGCAAGTGCAGTGCTAAAGCCCGACGAACAGGAATAAGACATGGCATTTATCCTGGCGAAGAGGTAAGTAATTCTAAGAATTGCAATTATGAATAAAAACTTCCTGCTGTAAACTCACACTTGGATTGATTTGAGGGTTTTTCCCATTCTTTACAGGCTGAATAATGTGCAGCTTTAAATCACTTAGTTGTGTAACCTCATATTTAAAATGCGATACCAGTAATGAAATCCACCTGAAAACTGTAGAAAATTGTTGCCTGCATTTATTTAGTTCTAGGTTGTCGGATTTTTTAAAGTTTCTGAAACACAACTATGTTAATAAAAAAGAACTTGTGGTCAAAGATCTACCATCTTCAAGTGGATGAGTATGTTATGAGGGCCGACTTTGTGAAGGGATTGCTTTAAAAGCAAAAGTAAATAAAACAGTAATGCTGCTGCTGACAGGAGCAGGAAGCTTGTCAGGAGGTGTTCTTATCTTAGCACTAAAGCATGTCTGTGCTGCAAACTGTCAAAACAGTTTATTAAGTTCTTTATGAATAAGTGATTTGAAAAAATGGCTCCATCAGTTTCCTGAAACACAGTTTAGAATGGTTTTGAAAAATATTGTTGAAATAGTGTTTCGTTATTTTCCTTAGAAATACCTATTTGTACAGAGCATGCTTTGTGTTCAGTATTGTTTCTGGAAATAAAACCAGTGCTTGGACAATGTCAAACATTTTTTTCTAAAAAACTTTGTTCTGGTGAAAGAATTGGAGAACATGAATATGTAGGTTTTATAATTTACCTTGAAGATTACCTTTATAATTTACCTTAATTTTTCTTGAAGAATTTTATTTTTCAATATGACTTTTTACATGTGTTTACTGAAACGTTATTTTATTTCTCTGCAGTTAAGGATTTATGAATGTTTCTGTGAGTTATTCCAGCTCAGAAAAATGGCTTTGGTGTGAATCTTACTATAAATTGCTCCAGTTCAGGATCAGTTCCTCCCCATGTTGTCTCTAGTGTTTTTCTTGCAGAGAAGGAGGGAGAAAATTTAGAAGGAGAAAACGGATATGTAAAACTTGCTGCATGAAGGCAGCTATTCCCTGGAGCAAGGCTGGCTGGGAATTCAAGGTTTCAGAAAATCTCCTAGGATGTACTAGTTTTTACAGTGTCGTGTAGATAAAACTGCCTAGCTTCAAATCAGCTGGTTTGTAACTGTCTTGTCACAGCAGTGAGAAGCATAGTTTGGGGCTGAACAGCCAGAGTAATGACCCTGCTTATTGGACGGGTTTTGCAAAGTGCACAGAGCTGTGTAGTGGTGTAGCTATCTTGTCATTGCAATCGGGCCATCTTTTGTAACAGTGTTTATAGTACCTTGCTCACTGCAGTGGTGCGGTTGTTTTTGGGGGGTGTTTTTTGTTGTGGTTTTTTCCCCATGCAGGCAGAAGTATTCTGAACAGATGCTGCAGCAAATTGGATGTAGGGCATAGGAGAAACTGTTTTTGTCTGACTATTGAGGATTTTTAGGTCTTTAAACTGGACTGCTTCAGAACAAGCTGGAAGAAAATACCAGTCCCAGGCATTTGGTGTTGCATCAGAGTGCACAGGGGGATGGCTGCCTTTGGACCTCACAGGCAGGCATTACAACCTCGCAGACAGAGCAGGGCTACCAGAGCTGCCTTGTTCGTGACAGGCGAATCCCTTTTCTTCAGACCCAATTTGCCACAAGCAGATGAGCTGATACCTGTCTACCTTGGTAACATACTTTTGAGATCTTCTCATGTGAGGTCCAGGTTCCTTTTTGTAAGCTTTTAAAATCAGTTTTCTGAAACAAATTTATGTAAAAGAGGAAATTAGTCTGGTATGTAAACAAATAACTGCTGTGTGTAAGAAAGATGGAGAGTCAAATGGAAAATTAAAAAAACTACAGCAATTTTTTTTCACCTTTTTTTTTCCTTTTGAATAGCTTTAAAAATATTTCTGAAAGTGGAAATGTAGATAAGGCCACACTTTCAGTCTTCCCAGAATGCTTAATTATGACTACCTGCTTTTATTTAATTTTCCTTAGTGCATGTTTCATGGCTATTAGAAATGCTTTATTCTCTCTTTTAATCTAAATTTGCCTTGACTCTACACATAATTCTACTTCTCTCTTTCTTTAAGCCCATTAAACCATGTCGCCCCATGACCAACAATGCTGGAAGACTATACCACTATCGAATTACTGTGTCGCCTCCCACAAACTTCTTAGTAAGTACTTTATAAATAATTCTAACTAGGACTCTAATTTTGTTTTCAGTGGTGGAAGTAGTACTGCTTCTTGCTTACTCCATGGTGCTTTTTTCAGACAGACCGACCTACTGTTATTGAGTATGATGACCATGAATATATCTTTGAAGGGTTCTCAATGTTTGCACATGCCCCATTAACAAACGTAAGTATGTTCATTACTACATACTTGGGATTTGTTTGGAAGGTAAGATGTTTCTGCCCTGAAGTAGAACTTCTCTAAAACAATGATGCATGTATGTTAAGAACATCTGGCCAGCACTGGGGGCAGGGTAAAGTTATTTGTGCTAACAAACCTCAGGTTTTGTCTTGACTAGTTGTGGTAAGCGTTGTCTTCAAACTGTGACTGAGACTGTGATGTGCATCAAAGTAATGTTTTTACATGTTTCACAGTTTGGAAGTGAAATAAACTGTGGAATAACTTGTTAAAACTGTTAATTGGATTTAAATTGGAAAAAAATTAAAAAACAACAACAATAACAAAAAGTTTTCCCTTGAAGTGACGAATGGACTTTTTTTCAGAAATCCACTCTAAAGGGATTTCTCTCTTCTAAAAACTTACTTAGATGTGTCCCCTACTTTCTAACATCTGTTCAGCGTCCTCAGGAACTAAGCAAGTTATGATTTTTATGATTTTTATTTTTTTTATGTAGGTATTTAAAGGCAATTAATTTCATGCTTTGAAAACAGATATAACAAGAAAAGGACATGATTGGTACCTGACTGCCCTGCTTTTCCAGTATAAGCTGAGTTAGCTATATCCGAATGAAAAATATGCAAATACTTAATTTCTGTACACTTGAAGATTTTTTGGTATCTATATTTCAAGAACTGTGTTTTCAAATGCTGTAGTGTTTGATTCCTTGGGTTTGTACCTGTTACCAGCTACACCACCAATGCCAAAACCCGGTATAAGAGTGTTTATCAGTACAGGGCTGGGATGTAAGAATACCAGAACTGAGAGGCACTGAGAAGAAAGTATTTTTTTGCTGACACTTTGCTTACATAATGTATATGACAACACTTTACTTTTGGTGAGCAGGAGAAGGGACTCTTGATGACAAAAAGTCAGTGAGTGAGTGAAGTTCGACCTGTGGCATGGCAGTGTGAAGCACTCCTGCCTGGCAACATTAACTCAACCTTGAAGTTCAAGGCAGATTTGTCCTGAGGTTTTACATTCTCACTTTGCCAATGAGCAAAAAGGAAGTTTTGTTTTACTGCCATTAAAAGGTTAAAGAGCCTACCTTATCTTTATAATTTTTGTGTCTTCTGCATGAGAGGAAGGCAGAGTTATGGAAATCTTTAATATACAGAGAACAAGGAAAACTCTTCTTGTCTGATGTGATTAGTGAAGGCCTTGAACTTATGCTTACTGTAAAGTGTGTGTGGGTTTTTAAATTATTTCTCAAATAGGGGAAGTGATCAGCAGCAAATGATTACTTTTTTACGGAGTTGAGTACAAAGCAACATCGTATTGTCAGTTCCTGTTACTAACATGTATAAAGCCCTTTGGAAGGAGTCTCTTACTTTCTTGAGATGAACTTTGACAGCATAAAAACTACTGTTTGAGACATGTTTTGGAACATACTTGATAAGAGGGAGATGGCAAAGGGTAGCAAAAAGAGGTCCAAACACCAACATCTTTAAATGAACCAAATTTCTGTAATTTGAAGTCTTAGCTTTGCACACTGTTAGAAGTCTTACTACTGTTATTACTGTTACTCAGTACGAATTGAGCAGGTCACATAGTAGGGAAAATTGTTAGTACAGTCATAAGAGAAATTATAATTTTCTTAATATAACTACCAAAACAATTTTATAGTACTAACTGCATGTTCCTTTCCTATGTATTTGCTTGTGTACATGGAACTCTAATTCATGGTCATGGTCACTTCTGTGAAGCATTCATTTTCTATTCAATACCAAGAAAAATACCCAAGGATACTGATTTTCTGAATCAGAATATCCTCTCGAGGTTGAACCTGCATGTTAAAAAGTAAGAAAACAGTCACTGTTTTTTTTGTTTGGTTTTTTTTTTTTTAAAAAGCCTTACTGAATTAATTGTGGCAGGTTTTCCTCTCCTCAGATTCTAAATGGTACATTTGAGTTTCAAGGTTTTTTATTTTTGGTTTCACATTTAATATTGTATCAAATTGTAGGAAATGCAGGTTTTTGTTTGGTTGTTCGGTGTAGCTCCTTTATCATGCAAATATCAACAGATTTTTGGAGACAAAATAGTCAAATGCTTGACAGTAGGCTGCAAGAAGACACAAGCAGAATATTGCACCTCTGCTAAGTCTATTGATTTCAGTGCAACCACAGCACTGCTCAGATATTTGTGTGCTTATCAATGCAAAATAACCTTGGCTTGCCTTGTTTGCGCAGACCATTGGATTGTTGTAAGATTCTTTTATGCTTGCGAGGCCAGTGAATAGTAAAACTTGTTAAGAGCTGTAGATGTGTAGGGCAGGATTACGCATTTCTGTAATCTTTTAGAAATTTGGCTTTTTTGCTTTAAAAAATCCCATTTAAAAAAAACCCACACACCTTCAGCAGCCCATGGACTTCAAAAACAAAAAAACCTTTTTTCAAAGGTGAAAAAAAAATAATTCAACGTTTGTCTTACAAGTTAGTTGAGTGAACTTCTGAGAATATTTATTGGATTAAATTAATATAAACCTATAAATCTATCCTGAAGTTCTTACATTGTGTTGCTATGACTTAAAGCTGTATTTTAAGACAATATAGCTAACAGAATTGGCAGTGTGCTAAAAACACCTTGGCTTCAGGTCACTGTATCAATCTGACATGTGTTACCAACAATAAATTCACTTCTAAATATACAAGTGAGAGAAGATACAGGTTTACTGAGCTTTGTTTTTTCTTCTAAACAAAATTTCATCTCCAGTAGATGGCATTATTTAATCTTTTTTTACCATCCATCCTGTCAGCCCTGTGTTATTACAGAGGAGGAGGTTAGAACTGGTACTTCTCTTGCACATGCTTGTGTTCCTGTCTTTACGTGATCCCCCAGAGCAGCTGTTTCAGTAAATGCCCTTTTCAACACCACAGTAATACCTTTGCAGACAAAGTTGTATTAAGTATACATTTGATATTGTAGTTTTTCATGCTGAATTTCTATTTTTCTTCCAGATTCCTCTATGTAAAGTAATCAGATTTAACATTGACTATACAATTCATTTCATTGAGGAGATGATGCCTGAGGTAAGAAGGATAATTGGTCAAAAAGTCGGAGTGGGTTCTGAGTTGTTGATATGCTTAATGGATTGAACTCTTCAGAATCTCATTTTGTGAAGTCTCTAAGAGACAGGCTGAGTTCTGAACAAATGGCTGAAAAGGAACTTGCACTCACAGGTACTAGCATAAATCCATCTACCTAGGCTATCATATATTAAAATCAAATAGTGAGAAGTGCTTATATCCATAGCTTCTTTTCATTTTAAGTTGTATACAATATATGTCAGGTACTCTTATCTGTAAGCTGAGTTAGGCATTATCCTCCCTTTGCGGATGACAAAAATAAGGCATCTGGAGGTGATGGTTTGCCAGGACTACATAAGTCAATGGCAGAGCTGAAACTTAATCATGAGTTTGAAGTCTGAAGATTGCTTATCAGTACTTAATATAAGCTGTTGCCAAAACAAATTTTCGGTGGATACAAACAAAGCACATTCAGTTCGTAATCTTTTTTTTTTATTACAAATTAATCCCTGGTGAAGCCAGTTTGTGAAGTAAATTGCTGCAGTGGAACAGCATGGGTAGGTACAGAAACACCCCTGCATACTAACTACACAGATAGGATCAGTGTTTAATTTAGTCACATATATTTACATTTTTCTTTCTAGTTATCTCTCTCTTTGTTGCTCAACAGCATCTAAATATATGCAAAACCCCTGAAATTCCTCAGCAAGATTAATGTGATCAAAGCAATTCATTTCTTGTTACTGTATCTGCTGTGTTGCTTCCAAATCTTGTTCTAAAACAACAAATGGTCACCAAGCAAAGTAGGGAATTTGACTGATTTTTTTGACTCCGGGTCAATTGGCTACAGCACTATTTGCAGCCTGTCTTTACTAAAGCATTCCTGCGAGGGAGATTGTGTTGTTGGGTTTGGAGTTTATGGCCAGTATCATACACATACCATTTATGTCAGCCTGGCCTGATTTTGTTCATTAAGGAAGGTTTTTTAGGTTCCGTCATTCCTGCATGAACGCTTTTTGCTTTGCAGGAGTTGCTTCCCCACTTGATGAGAAAAACCTCATTAATTTTTTTTTCTTTTTTTTTTTTTCTTTTGTGTTGGCTCTTGAGGTCAAAAGCCTCAGTTTGCATTGTACTGATATGTTGCTATGGAAGTGATCAGGATATAAGAGATGGTGATTTATAAACTTTTAATATGAACATGTAGGAAAAAGTGAACTAGGAAAAAATCCTTCTCAGAAATATGTCATCTACTTAGCTTACTCAGGTGGAATGGTTTTAGTGCATAGCAAGTTATTGCAGATTCGTAATTTCTGCCCATAGTGTTGATTTGGACATTGACTAAAGAGTCTTCATTACAATGCTTTCCTGACAATGCTTTCTGAAGAGATCACTGTGTGGTATGTTACAGTAAGTGATTAAAGATGCGTCAATACTGTTTCCAAAGCCTAGTGTCTAGCAGTTGGCAAATATGAAGACACTGTTTTTTTCATTATTTTGTTTAACTAGATGTGAGTGGCGTTATTTGTATTACAGTATTACATAATTATGATTCTGGTTTATTTTTTTATTTCCCCAGAATTTTTGTGTGAGAGGTCTTGAGCTCTTCTCTTCATATCTATTCAAAGATATTTTGGAGCTTTATGACTGGAATCTTAAAGGTAACTTCTATTTATGGAAAAAAAAAGCCCAATTAATTGCAGCTTTTGTAAATAGAACTCTATTTTTTTATGTTCTTTGGTTTAGAAAAGAAAAAAGTGTGGAGGGACCTCAAAAGAATAGAATTAAATGCTGGTTTACGTCAGAGGGACAAGGAGATGAAATATATTTGAGTTCATTAGTGTGGCCTATAGCAATGAAAATGCGCAAACTTGGCACTGTGTTCTTGCAGATAAACTAAGTTTCTTTAATCCAAACCAGTTCCTTTAAATCAAACAGTAAATATTATTTTATGTTTAATATTGCATAGTATTGTGTCCATGGTACTTTGAAGCCAACATATCAGGTAAACTATTCTCTCTTTTTTTAGAAGCTAACAAACGAGTTAATCGTACAGTATTTCTCTACAGTCAGCTTATAAAGCAGTGTCATACAGACAGCCATAGAGGGATAACATATCATTATAGCTGAATGTTTTTGACTTGACAAGATGAAAATATATGTTCCTGTGAAGGCTGCTACAAAGGAGAATTTCAGTGATGATCCTTCCCTTGGTCTAAAAGAAAACTGATAATATCAAAGGAATTTCATTTCAGAATGTGTAGATATGTTTTGGTGTCTTGACTTTGTCTATGGAGATGCACTCAGCACTTACTGCAGTTAAACAGGGAAGCATACAAGTTTCATACGTTTTGCATAGCTTTGGTTTGATACTAAATGTATTCTAATATCAATGTTTTCTTTCATATCACTGGTTCTGATTGCTCTTCTTTAGCACTGGGTGCTTACTGGTTTTGTTTTTATTTTCATGCAAAGCTTTGGATCATGGAATAGTAAACGGAAAAACCACACAATAGGGTCAAGGAAATTTCCTTGTTATCTCTTGTTGTAACCAAAAAAACACCCCACTAATTGGTAGGGACTAATAAACTAGTGCTTGTGTCTGTAAGGCTTAAGTGAATTAATTATATGAAAGAATTTTCTCCTGTATCACTGTTTTAAATAAAACTACTGTGGTTTTGTTATATTGTTTTTATTTTTAAATTATTGTCGTTTTCTCTGAAATCATCCACGTGAAAGCTTTCACTAGAATTTGTTACTCTTTGCTGTGCATTTTGTTACTTTTTCCTGATTGAAATTTAAGCCCTATCAAATGTAATCACCATTCACTTATTTCATCTGGTTGCCTTCTTTTTTTTCTTCCTTTGCAAATACGTTGCTGTTCATAAATTTTCTGTATTTTTTTTCATATTTAAGGTCCTTCACTTGAAAATGATTCTATTTGCTGCCCCAGGTTTCACTTCATGCCGCGATTTGTGAGGTTTCTTCCAGGTAATGTTTGTATTATGTAGTTTTATGGAAATTAGATCTAAAATACCCCAAAATCAATAAACCCCACCAAAAACACATGCCTCAGAAAAACAACAAACCCTCCACAAAAGAACTTTCTGCAAGTCAAATGGTTCAGTCAGTGTAGAGATCTGGCACTTCCATCTGAAGTCTTTAGTGCTTGCTGGCAGTGGGCATGATCTGGTCAGAACTGGGATTTAGATCATAAAATCATAGAATGGTTTGAATTGGAAAGGACCTTAAGGACCATCTGGTTCCAACCCCCCTGCCATGGGCAGGGACACCTTCCACTAGATGAGGTTGCTCCAAGCCCCATCCAGCCTGGCCTTGAACACTGCCAGGGAGGGGGCAGCCACAGCTTCCCGGGGCAACCCCTGCCAGTGTCTCACCACCTTCACAGTAAAGAATTTCTTCCTACCAGCTAGTCTCAATCTCCCCTCTTTCAGTTTGAAACCGTTACCTCTCGTCCTATCACCACACTCCCTGATAAAAAGTCCCTCCCCACCTTTCCTGTAGGCCCCCTTTAAGTACTAGAAGGCTGCTAGAAAGTCTCCCTGGAGCCTTCTCCAGGCTGAACAACCCCAACTCTCTCAGCCTGTTGTTACAGAGGAGGTGCTCCAGCCCCCTGATCATCTTCGTGGCCCTAAGATGATGGGCAGGCCAAGTCTTGCTTCAAGCTTTTGTCTCGGTTGTGGTGATTTTAGGCAGTGCTTGGTCATCCTTGTCCTGCCCTGCGATGGAGCTGTGGCATTTGAGGAGTGTTATTACTTAATCTCACATGTAAAACTGAATTTCGTGTTGCTTTTGGTGTTCAGGATACTGCATAATTGTATTACACTTCTTGATGTGCAGTTTTGAGGGTCAGCATGATTGGCACCTCTGAGCCAATGTTGTTCTGATTGTTTCTTTCTTTATCTTAATGCAAGCTTAGACCTTGCAGCAAGTGGTACAATTGAGAAAAAACACCATTCCAGTGCAATTCAACCCTATCCTGCCAGCCAAGGGCAAGGTTCAGTGTTGAGTGTTATGATTTGACTCATTTTCTTACGATGTGACTCATTTCGAGTCAACAGCTTACACAGGCATTTACACATCCTAAGATACTAGGACAGACTTTCAGTTGATATAAATGTCATGGCTCTGTTGAAAATGTGTCCTGCTGAGATCTGCCAGTGATTGCTTCAGAAGGGTTGTGCGGACAGGAAGATGTGTTTCAGCTGCTGGACTGAGGGTGCAGATGATACATGGAGCAATCTACATCAAGAGGGTTATGGCCTGGAGATGCTCTCTGCTCTGGGCTTTGAAACTTAGTTGGGATATTAATTATAGCTGTAGCTAAATGAGGTTTGGCTCATTACTGTGGAGAGTACTGGTGGCTAGATGACTATATTTCTAATTGTTGTTCCTTCCTGGATACACAACACTGTTCAATCAGAAGCAGAGCTCTGAGGCTTGCTAGCAAACACTTGATTTGGTTCTACTGAAGCAATTTACAAAATAAGCCATCAAGCCACATGTGGCTGATTAACTTGACCTCATCACAAAATGAGAACAAGTTTAACCTGCCTGGTTTGTGTAGCTTGAGGGGATTTTTATGTTAGTTTGGGGCTTTTATATTCTGATTTGTTTTATTTTAGTTTAGAAGTCAGCTCTTTCTGTGCAGTTGGATTGTTTACTGATAGGGAAATATAAGTCTCTATAACGTGTATTTCTATGTGCTTCCTCTTTAAGGTTCCCAGCCTTCCAACTCTTATTAAAAATGTCTTTTTCCTGATATTTCTGCATATATAGTTGCCTTTTAGCATCTTTATGACAGATACTTTTTTAATCGAGTTCGTGTTTTGTATTGATTATTTTCTGAGATATCCTTGGAGTTTTTTAATTTCCAGAGAGTGGGAATCTATTTTCTTCAGGTATGTTTGCAGAACATTATGTATCTATGTCTGTTCACAGAAGATACATTGGTGTAACAGATCTCCACACATCTATCAACTGTCTCTCTAATGATAGAAGTGAATTGCTGATTTCCTATTACTTCTACTTTCATTCTTTCTTATCTTTCTAATCTGGAAAATACGAGGTTTGAGATGTCACATTTTCTGTGTGGATTACTTGGAGACAGGCCTTGGGTAGCTTTGGGCTAATCATACCGTGTTTACTGAGTGCCAGAGATGCATAGCATGCAGAGTAGTTTTGCTGTATTGTATTCATTGTGATGGATTTTTATGATGATAATGACTAGAAAAAAAATGTTTGAGGTCCCAAGTACTGCATGTTCTGACCCAGGAAAGGTCAGGTCTCTTAACTACTATTTAGCGCAGCTGTCTATAGCAACCTGTACCCTTCCTGTGTACACAGTCTTCAGCGAGTAAGGCTACGCTTGTTTTTTAGTGATTGTTGGGCTACCTCTTGTGTTAACAGTATAATCTAATTGTTGGCAAAGACAAAAGTCTTGTAAACAGAGTCCCTCCTTTTTGAAGGAAAACTTTGCACATTTAAAAATCTGCCCATGTAGCTATTTAGAAGTATTTTCTGTTTCCGGTGAGGTTTGGGGTGTATTTTCCCCATTTAAGATTCCCTCTTGGAATCTGAATGAGGTTAATTACTCTGAGAGGCCAAGTTATATCATTCCCTTTCACCTTTTCTGTACCATAGTGCTGTAATCCCAGCCAAAGTAAGAAAAGTGCTTGTTCCTTGCGTGTCTGGTAGAGATTGTCATCTTACGCAGCACTGCTGTTGTGCAGCAGTTCTGCGGGGCTTTTCCTGTGTGCCTAGGATCACGTTCCTCGTGCTGTGGCATCATTCCCCATGTTGCTCTAAGACGACTTGGGTTTTCTCCATTCCTTTTTTTGTGTATGTAGTGGTAGAATGTACTCAGTGGCAGGGCCAGATTGCTCCTGCTCCCTGGGGAAGGGAATTCAACGTTTGTGCTCTGTGGGGATGAAACTTGAAGATGCCTCCATACCTATAGACTAACACCCTGTTGTTGAAGGAGGGGGTCGGAGAGATGTGTGTCAAAATTAAAGCACTGCAGTAACATGTCATAAATTTACTTGTATGAGCAAACATACTGAATTTGAATAGTCATGTCTTCTGAGTGGTGATCTGTCAGGACTGTCACTTTTCTTTCCTGTTTGCATCTTCACATCAGTAACTGACTATCAGGATCCAATCGGATGTTTATTATACTGTCTTCCTTTGTTACAAGCAGATTTTACTGTGCATGTTTCCTGGGGTCTTGGAGGTATTTAGCAGTTTTCATGTGTCCTTTATTCATTTAGTGACAGAAGACAGCATGAGTCTCTTTAGTCTTCATTACTGCAGGTGCAGCACGTAAGCACTACAGATGAGTTTAAAATGCAAGGATGACTTGCTACATTCATCCAGAAGTATCCCATAAAATTTTGAGTGTTCTTTAAAAAAGCTGCATGAGTGCCTAAAGGCTTTTAACTACCGTTGTAAAAAGAATTATAAAAGTGTGAAAAGGAAGATATAACTGGACAATGTAACTGATTGTTCTGCCTACTCATTTTAAAGATTTTCTCAGGCAAGTTAGAAACTTCAGCTTTACAGTACGATGAAACTGTTAGTCTTGCTACTATTACTGTTAATGCTTCGAGTTTAGCAAAGTGTTTCTGCATGTGTAATATTCATCAATAAAACATTTACCTTCATATTTGTCAAGTTGCTTAAGCATTTTGCATTTTATTTTGCTCATCCAAATATTTTGTGTGTTCTGCATATTTTCGCTTTTGTTCATGCTTTAGGAGTGAATATCTGAAATGTGTTTTCTTTATTTATGTTTTTAAGATGGAGGAAAAGAAGTACTCTCAATGCATCAGATTCTTCTCTACTTGTTACGATGCAATAAAGCTCTGGTGCCTGAAGAGGAGATTGCCAACATGCTTCAGTGGGAAGAACTGGAATGGCAGAAATATGCAGAAGAATGCAAAGGGATGATTGTTACCAGCCCCGGCATGGTAGAGCATATAATTCTGATTTATAAACAACCCAATGACACATACATGTCTTGTTTTAGAGAGTTTGCTACAGGCTGAATTGGAAAGGGAAAAAATGACCAGTGACTGTTGGAGATTGCTATAGGATCAGTTCATTGACTTGTTCCAGCCCTGGGAAGAATTGCATCCTCTGCGGCTTTACTGAAGGGCAGATTTCCAGATAAGCACTGTTTCAATGTGTACATTAAAAGGAATGGCTATATTTTATGTATGTGAAATTGTAGTTTGCTCCTCTGCTTTCTTATTTTCTCAGTCTCTATGTGCATGATCTCATTCTCTTTTCCCTGACATGGGACCAGAGAATTAGTAATTTGTTGCTATTTTCTTTCATCTTCCTCTTTTGGCCCCCTAGCTCTATTTAAAGTGCTCTATCCTGGTTCTGCACTGAATATGGAAAAGGTGTTTTCTGCTTATGTGATTTTTTTCTATATTGTTTCTATGTTGCTCTCACTGAGGAATTTTGTGTACATTAATGACTGCATCCATTAATTTTCAATGCCAAGCTTGAAACCCCTATGGCCTTATTATTTTTTGAACAATTAGTATTTTAAAGCATATCTTCTCTGAACACAGTTCCTTTCAACTCCAGTGTTTATGTGAATTTAGCCTGTTTTTCTGACTTTCACGCTTAAGAAATGTGGGTCAAAAGAATAGATGATGTCCACTAAAAGCTGCAGGGTTCTGTTTGCGTGGTTTGGTCAGCATCGCAAAGTGGTGTCTCCGTAGTAGAGGCATGTTTTGGACCTTGTATTTTAGACTGCCATGCAGCTTTCTTGGTTGTAATACCTTTCTTTGACTTCATTTTCCTCCTTTGCTCATAGCTCAACTTCTTAGCTTCTGCAGAAAAAGTGTGGCTGGGTATCATGCCTAAGGGGAAATTTAGTTTGCTAACTGAAAAACCTGTCCCCAGACTGCAGCCAGGGTGACTTCCTAAATATATTTTTCAAGTTTATATTTTTAAGTACAGCAGTATTACGTTTAGTGAACTACTTTAAGCTAATCATGAATTGGGCAGGATAATTTATTTTTCCCTTGATTTCATTCTGAGTTTTTTTGTCCTGGCTAAAACTTTCTAAGCAGAGACAAAAATAAGATAATCTATGGGAACGTGAAATACAGAATACGTGTGAACTCTCACTGTGGAAAGTTCTACCCGAGCTGGTTAAAACTGAGTGCTAAACCAGAATCTCATAATAGAAATTGTTAGACAGCCTGAACTGTTTAACTTAACGTTGCCTGTGGTTTCTGTGATAGAAGGTACATGCTAGTGCACAAGTTGTCAGCATCTGAATGGTTATACACTCGTATAACTTCAGTGGTTCTGATGAAGAAAGGCTGATTTCAGCTAGCTGAAAACTTGCATTTTGTTTAGCATGAAGGACTGCATATATGCTCCCTTGTGTCTCTGAACTGTAAGTGTCTGTATGCACAAAGCAGTGCAGTTTGTGAGTGGTAGTGTTAATTTTGAGATTTTGTGTGGGTTTTTTACTGAAAAAGTCTAAATTCTATGAGACAATGTTTTTTTGAACGTGTGTGGACATTGAAATATGTAAGCATAAAAGAAATCTGCAGCACTTTGAAATGTTGTCATGTTATAATGCCATCATTAGAACATATTTTTTCCCTCAAGAAGATTGCAATGACTTTTTTGGTGGATATTTTTTCTGTTCATTGCAGCATGTTCCGTTGAGGGAAAATAGAGTATGAAAGTGTTTTCTATGCATTTTACAACATTAGAAGATAAAACAATTCTGTTATAAGAGACAATGTGAAACTGCTTTAGAAAATGACAGCTCTTCAATTCAATTTTACCCACTTGACACAACAAAGTAAACCCACTAAATTTTATTTTGCTGCTTTACTCCACAACATCACTTCAGAAATAATAAATTCTCTTGTGAGCAAAGGTTTTATTTTTTTTTTTTTAAAAATGATGTGTATACATGCATGATGGAGAAGGGAAAAAAATTTGATAGGCATATAAATCAAATTTACTGAAACAAGTAACAATGGTTCAGCATTATTTAAAACCATTTAATTTATTCATGGTGTTTCATTAGTTCAGTAAAACTTTGTGTTGGAATAGATTTAAATGTTCACAAAATTTAATCCTCTTTAATACTTCACCCTTTCTAAAATATTGCTGCTTTTCTCACTGGTACAAATAAATAGGTATTTTAACATACTTTTGTGCTGCATATGCGTGCAATCTCATCATGTCTTCTACTACCAGCAAAGCCTTGATTGATGAGGTTTGGAGTAGAAAACAAAGATGATGAGCCTCTGGTCTGTTAGAATCTTTGGTTTTTATGAGATTTTTAAAAGCAAGGTTGTGGTTATTAGATAGTCTCTCACAGCACTTTTAAAAGAACACGGGGATAAAAATCTGGAAGAGTAACATCTAATTGGCTTGTGTCCTGTCTGCTGGTGTGCAATTTATACTGTATGTTTCTGTATGGTGCTGTTTGTTCGTTTACCCTTCTGAAACAGCACCAGAGAGGAAGCTAGTGTTCACTGTGCTGAAAGGAAAAAGCAGAGCCTCACTACACCCCTCTCATAACTGTCGGTGAAGGAACAATTGTGATTAAGTCTTAAACAAGGAGTTCTTTTGTCCTGGTTGTTACCAGGCATCTTTGAACAGCTGTGTAACTGAGTGACAAAACTCAAAGGCAGTGGCATATAAATAGAGTCTGGTTTTGATTCATGATCCCAAGGCCCTGCGTTTCACACAGACCCTGCTGTAGGCGTACTGAAAGCTCTTCTCCCTTTCACACTTTTAAGAATCAGATTACTTCTGTTTAAGTGTCTAAAATGTGAAACACTTGAGTAGAAAAATATTGCCTGTAATTTTTTTAAAATATATTGATTCTCATTGGTGTATTGAGTATAATTATTGTTTCATATTCTGTTAATCATATTTTGCTGCCTTGGTTCTGAGAGGAGTTGTGTAGCAAGGCTACTTTTTTGAGGGGGGCAGGAATGGGAGAAGTTCCTCATTTTTAATGTTAAGAGAGGGGAAAAGCAACGAACAACTGTTGTGAAGATAAAAAGTTTTCAAATTGGCTTTGTGCAAACCCCTCAAAACTAGATAAACTTAAATGTCAGGACTTTAAGCTCTGGTTTAGAGAACAACATTCTGCCTGCTACAAATCCTTCCCATGTTTTTTATTAGGTTTTGTTGTCCTAATTCCTTTTCACTGGAAGTGCTTTGGAAAAAAACCTTTTCTCTTCCTTTTTCTTTTTTCTTTCTTTTTTTAAAATTTTTTTTAAAAACCTGGCAGCATGAGCTAACTAACTTAAGTTTTGTTAGTTTTCTCTTTTTTTGGCTGGGGAGATGTAACTTTATGTTCAGTCATCATAGAATTATAGAATAGTTTGGGTTGGGGAAGCTGATAAGCATTTTTCCCTTGGAAAATGTTTGTCTATCTGATGTCAAAGTTTTAAGTAAGTTTTTCTTCTTCTAGAGTAGGTTGGAAATGTGGCCACCTGATGAGGCTTACCTTTATTTATAGAATTGGCTGTGCTTATCCATGCAGAAAATGATTCCTGTAAACAGTTCTACTAAGGTGGTTTGAAGGGCGAAAGCTTTGTTTCTCGACACAGATTTTATTGTTTTGTGAAGAGAATGGTGGGAGCTGTTTCTGCAGCTCTGAAACTCATCTTTGAGAAATTCACAGTACTAAATTAGAAGTTTTGAAATGCAGGTAACTAGAAGTAATGCCCTTTTTCTGAAACCTTAGGCAAGCAGAAAATATTTGCCTCATCTAGCTGATTGCAAAGTGGGGAGTAAGCAGTCACGTAACAAAGCAGCTTGCCAGTTAACAGAGAAAATGTTTACTTGGAGACAAACTGTGCACCTTCAACTGAGTGTTTAAATATGTTAAATAAGTGATCGAGATCTCTGTGAGCAGCATGTCTTCTACAATGATGTGCAATTACTCATATTCTGCATTTTTAGAGGTGAAGCGGAAGTTGCTTCCTACTCTGTCCTTTTTAACTATAAAAAGAACTTTGTTTTGAAGTGTAAGAAGGACAGAAGTCTCCTCATTATACAAGACTGTATTCCTCACTGTACACATCAGCCTAGGAGCCTTTTCTAAGAGTAGCATGAGAGATTTTTTTTTTTAATGCTGTTTAGTTGGTGTGTTTGAATGGCTCTAATAATGGCTTCACTTGCTTTGGGAAATCAGGAACAGAACTAAAATTAGAGAGGTAACCTGATCTTGGCGAACTACTCGGGCATGTGGGAGCTTGGACGCCAGAATGCCAATACTGATTTTATTTCCAGTGTGATGTTTGCCCAAAGAAAGTTGCTTTAGGTTCTCAGAAATAATCAAACTGTAAATTTCCTGACTTGTAAAATGAAAATAAAAATACTTCCTTTTTTCACTGGGCGCGCTAAGTCAATTAACTTGGTTTCACTCATTGTCACTGCCAAATATTTATTATAATATTAATGATTAGTTTTATGTGTAATTTAATAAACTTGGAATATTTATGCCTCGTGGTTCAGGATAGTGTGGGCTAGAGGCAATAAATCTTCCATGGAGATGTTGTCAATTAGGTATATTTTGTTTTTTCTCCTAGAAACCCAGCTCAGTTCGTATTGATCAACTGGACCGCGAACAGTTCAATCCTGATGTAATTACTTTCCCCATTATCGTCCACTTTGGGATACGACCTGCTCAACTCAGTTATGCTGGAGATCCTCAGTAAGATACTTTTCCTTCCATCTTTCGTTCAGAAACTCATTACTGTTGTCATTTATGGCTTAAATAGGGCTTGTTTATGTGCTTAAATGAGTCTGATATAAAGCTTAGTGCTTATGACATTAGACACAAGCTCTAGTAAATTAGAGAATATAAGGTATAACTTCTTTTTTCTGGCATAATTCAGGATCTGCTGAAGTAAATGTGCATGCATGCACAGCATGAAATTTCTCAACCTGAGAACAGCTCTTCTATGTCAGAGCAAAGGTTCCTCAAGCTTCACATTATTTCTCTGAGAGACCAGTTGCAGATTTTTACAGAGAATAGTGTAACAGGAAGGCAGAGGGGAGAAATACTTACCCAGGCTTCCAAAAGTCTGTAGCCTATGGACTTCTGAGCTAGAGAATATATTTAGGTCGTTTTGCTTAATAGCCCTGAATGGACCTTTCTTCTCTCAATTTCTCAAGTCACTGAATCTTCCTTTTTATGCTACTGACAGGGAGAAGATTCCAAGTAATGACTGCCCTAGTAATATTGTGCATCGTGTGAAAAAGGATGCAGTTTTGTTTCAGAACTGCTACTTAATTGTTTAATTAGATCCTCTTCAAGTCTTACATCTCATAATGAAGAATATGGCTATTCTCTGTTTGCTTACTTCATGACATTTATGTTTCTTGCACCCTGCTTTATGCTACTTAGTTGTCTCTTTCTATGCCTTGAAGGATCAAGTCTATGTTCCATTTCCTAGCTTGGAAGCTGTTGCATCCATGCTAGTTTTCTCTATACCTTTCATATCCTTATGGAGATTGAGAGGAACGTGGTGAAGGAGTAGACATGGAATCAGAACTTCAGGCAGAGCAAGAAATACTGTTTTATTCTGGATTTGAGTAGTGGCATAAAAGTGATTGCTGGATTTTGTTCACAATTCTTTTCTTAATTTCTGAAAGTTTCAGGGAACTCTTCCAATGATTTGGGGATCTGTTTTCTGAATGACGACAGACAATATAGTGCCCATCTCTTCTGCATGTATAGTTAAGGTTGTCATTTTCCTCATGCATTTTCCTCTAGTGTTTTTTAAGGATGTTGAATTTCACCTTCAGTTTTGAGGCCCAAATACTCATATGTGTATATGTGACAGACATATTCTTCTACAAATGCTTGCTGAGACTTTTAGATTTAATATGGTGGGAAGAGTGAAGTGCTTATCCAGATAATAACAATATATTTTCTTTTGCCTTTGAGCATGATTTTAATCCTCCTAATCTTTTAGTTTTCTTATCCATAAAAAGAAAGTAATTAGACCAAGGAGTGTAAGAACCATCTCTATTTTGATGCTGAATTTCTTAGTATTTGTAAAGTTCTAGTACCTTGCATTGAAAACAGTATATAAGATACAAAAATGGTTCTTCCCACACTTTTTTATTGTACCTTTCTTTAAAATTTCCTTGTTGTTTTTTTTTCTTTGTTTTTTTTTGCCAGAGCTGCTCACCAAATTTAGGCGTGCTGCTTTTTATCAAAGTAACAACTCATTTTTTGTGAAAAACCTCTGTGGTGCCATCATACATCTCGGGCTTAACTCTGGTGTATGTGTGAAATAGGTAATGCTCAGAAAAGATTTTCCTCTAGTGTGTCTTTTTCTTTATGAGGTTCTCATACGGAATTTTTGTTTCTGTAATCTGTTTATTAATTCTCAAACTTAACTGCAATAGTAGAGCTTGTTCCACCCGTATTAATACTAGTAGTAAAACGTATATTGTAGATCATAGTTTCAGGTTCTTGTTTCTGTATTGAAACCTCCTCGTGGCATTTGTTTGTTTTCTGGTTGGTTGACTTGTTCATTAACTCATTTTTCTTCTTTACATGGGGATTTGTCAGAAATAGATGTACTATTCTGCAGATTGCAGAAATAGAGAACAGAGCATAAGAAAAATCTTTGGATTGATGATTTCAGATGTGCTTACAGACTCAAGAATACCAGAATCTCTAGAGGCAGAGAGTATACATTCAAGAATGCTGCAGAGAAATAGCTATGGAAAAAATGCCAATAAGAAAAGATCTATTTGTGTGCCTGTGAATGTGGGATGCTGGGAAGATTATGGAATAGGAAAAGAGCTGCTGCTTCATTTACTGCTTTGCCACTAACGTTGTAACTTTCTACTAAAACCACTTCTGTAAGTTGATGCTGAGGAGGATCTTCTTTCATAATGTAAATATAAAAGAAAATAAATTACTTGAGTAAACTTCTTCTCTCTGTCCTTTAATTCCCTGCTTCCTATTAAAGGTCTGGTTTTATGGATTTTCTTGAAAAAACTCTACAGAGGTGATACTGTTTTGAAGATAGCATCGTTTCCTAAGCATCGTTTCCTAAGGACACAGGGTCCATGTCATGATTCTCTTGGTTGCTCCTCACATAGTAACTTTGAACCTGTTGGTGAATTGCAGCTGAATATAATGGTGGGATGTTTTCTACAAATGGAATAGATTCTTAAAAGTTTTGTGAAAATCTATGCTAGATCGCGGAGGGACTCCTACCAAGGAAAAAGTTCTGTTACTGAAGTTCATGTGTAATTAGACACCCCCAAAATAAGAAAACTCCAAGCAGTTGGAGGAAACCAGAAACCTTAAGTATATGCTAATGACAGAGAAAACTTGACTTGCTCTTTCCATTCAGCAGAAATCCATAGGAAATGAAACTTATTTCACTTTTCACAGAATGATTTTGTGTTGCACATGACTTGTAAAGCTCTTCCTCATGTACTTCATGGAAATGTTTCAGCCAGTATAAGGACAGACACTTCTTGGAAAAGGTTATGGCTGCTTTTCAGTGAGTGACAGGTAAACCCTGTGGACAAGAGGGAGTTTTTCACTGCCTGAATTCAGATGTCATGCTGTGGGCAAGTGTTTTAAGCATGCGGAGGTGGCCCTTTGGAGAGGACAGGTGAGTATCCGGGAGACCTAGGTTCTGCTCTGAGCTTTGCTGTTCACCTCACATTGCACGTTAATGCCTCATCTCTGCTGCTGTGTCCACCCCACTGGAACAACTGCAGAGACTTGTCACCTCTTGGAAAATGCTTTTGAGATTTTTTTGGAGCAAAAAGATGCTTGTAGACAATCTGTGTGTATATGGGTGCATTATTAGCTGCTAGTGTGTTCATAAGGACAAATGGTGAGAGGCTTTTGTTGTATTGACCAAAATATTTGTTTTGTGGTTTTGTCCTTAAGGTACCAAAAGCTGTGGAAGAGTTATGTGAAGTTGCGTCACCTCCTGGCTAATAGTCCCAAAGTCAAACAGGCTGATAAACAGAAATTATCACAAAGAGAGGTATGCTGGGCCTTCCTATAACTGATAGTTGAGCAGGGTAATTCAGGATGGAATAAAGCCATATGACTGCCCTGTTTATGGAAACAATAGAGATCCTTCACAAAAGATTTTCTTTTCGGGCTGTTAACACTGATTTTATTTTTATCTTTGCTTGTTATTGAATGGATTCTTTTTTCTTTTTTTCAGCTGTCAAACTACTACAAGTTTTTTACCCAATTATAGATATGATTGTTATGGACCCATAACTTCTTTATAGCTGTTGCCATTAATGGTTTCAAGAATTAGCATAGAGAAGGACTTTTATTTCAGAGTGCCCTTTTAACTGGTTCCTAATTTTAAATATTTCTCTTCTGAGATAAAAACTGCCACACTTGTGCAGTGTTTTAAACTGTAATTTATCAGCAGTCTCAGTGACATTCCTTAAGATCTTTGAGTCAAAATCATCTGGTGGTTGTTTTTTTCAGTAACCCTTAATGACAAATGAAGTGTTTGTTGATTTTTTTTTTTTTTTTTTTTTTTTTTGGACCCCAAAGCGATGAGCAATAAGCATTTCCTAAGTGCAGATGCTCAGCCAATTGGGATGTAAAATCAGAAAAATAGTCACCTAAATATAGACTAAAGCAGCCTGCTCTCAGGTATCTGTGGTTTTTTAAGCCTTTGGACTGAAGTTTTGAATTTATCTGGTGCATGTCTACCAGGCACTCTTAATTGGACAACTTACGTAAAGAATACATAGAAGAGAAATTAACTGGTACTGGATGGAATTAAGTGGTATTGTATTTTTATTTATTTGATTACAAACCCTGATGATTCACAGAATCATAGAATATCCTGAGTTGGAAAGGACCTATGAGGATCGTTGAATCCAATTCCTGAATCTTCTGCAGTTTGCTAAATGTATGGCTTTGGTTGCAGTAAATGTTCAATACATTTGACATTGCACCCGATTTTTATTATTACTGCAAAGCATAGTATGCTGTTGCATGAGCAAGAGTCTTAATTAACTGTTTCTTTATGCTGATATTAAAAATCCCTTAGCTTCCTTACTTGTAAATGGGAAAAAACACAATGTTTGACTTGAGTGTGCTACAGTTGTAAGGAAGAAAAAAATGTTGTCATCATAGGAGATGATTTTGTTTGCTACAGCTTTCTGCACTCAGAGCAAGTAGAAGGGAAGACCGTTGTTTTATGGGCATCTTTTCATTAGGGACTAATGGATTACTTATTTGTAAAATTGCAGGGGATTGGATGTAGGGGATGATTGTTTTGATTCAAAAGATAAAATGCTCCTTTCACATTTATCACTTACTGTGTGGAGTGCTGATTTTCGTTTCTATTTATCTAGGATAATGAGTTTAAGTAGTTTGCCATCGGAGGGGCATATGGGGCTGAAACTGAAGCTTTATGTAAGGATAATGTATGCATTTTGCCAGTGGAGGTGTCAGTAACTTAGAAGGAGCTGTATGGCTGCGCCAGACTGGTACATGGGCTTTTAGAGATTATGAATCGAATCATATATTATGAATAGCACTGGAGTGTTCCTGAGCCACTCAGCCTGAAATTACATTAGGCACCTGTCTCAGAAAACACCCAGTGACACAGCCTTGAAATGCAAATTTTAGACAGTGCACAAGGGGCACAGTTCTGTAAGTATCTCTGTTCCCTCTGCCGTTGGTCATTCACTGCTATGAGATTGTTTGACGTTATTATTTGTGACAATGTCATGCCTGGGGGCTTTGTTGCTCTAACCTAACTTTGAGTATTTACAGCAGGTGCATAAATTGGGACCTGAAGGCTCACTTTGAAGTCAGTGGAGAGAGAAATGCATTTTTTGGAGCCTTTTATCCCCCTTCATTGAATATAAAAGGAGCTAGGGCTAACTAGCCTCCCACCCTAGACACTTCAGTATTAAGGTGTCTGAGGTTTCATCAATGTAAGTCTGGATAGATGAGCCTCTTGGAACCACTCTGTGAGTCTTTGCAGACCAGAAGACAGAGCCCATTGCTGCCTAGGGATGCTCACAGGCTTCAGACTGAAAGCTTGGAAGAGACAGCTTTGAGCAAGTGCCCTGTAATGAAAAGGAGGAGAGGGAGGATGGGTTGCAGCCTTGAAAAGTTACATGTTCTGAAGAAGGACAAGCACTGAGACAGTCTTTACTGTTTGCTGTGTGGGGAGCTTGCATATCCTGAGGGCTTTGTAGTCTTGGAACCAGGAGATCCTCATCCAGTGATAATTTATTTTAGCTGGTTTTCTTCCATTCAATTTTTACAGAAAGTACATTCTTTTAATGATTCTGTCCCTTTCATATTTTCTAGAGACAAATAAACTGTTTATACAACCAAACAGCCAGTGGTGAAGACAAATCAGATTTTTTTTTTTTTTTTTTTTTTTAAATAATATTGGTAGATTTCATCATAATAGGCTCCAGGACTAGTGAATGCTGACCCCTTTCCCAGATTGGAAGTACTGACAATGTTGAACAGGAACTATTATGAAGTATCTGAGATCACAAAACAAAGCCTTACTATTACTTAGTCTGTTCTACTCCTACTGAAGGCTTCAAACCAGGAGCACTCATGGTGACAAACTTGAATGTAGAGGTTGTTTTGCACACAGTGGTAAAGAACATGCTGTCATTGTAAGGACCTTAACTTGCTTACTTATGTATCATCTTGGATTTATGAGTTGGACTGGTTTGTTCTGTCATTTGCAGTAAAAAACGTAGTTGCCTCTGTTCTCTCCTTGGTCTGTTGAAATCCTCTGTCTACACTGTACTCCAGCACATCCACCACAGTCCGTGGTTGGCAATTACAAGATTTGGACTAGTCTTAGAAACTGCTCACCAAAAACGAGCCTTAAAATGGGTATTGTGAACTCACTCTTGTGTGCATTGATACTGCTTTGTTGTAGAAAGTTCTTCACAAGACCTGCATTCTCTCCCTGTCTAGGAAGCTCTGCAGAAAATTCGTCAGAAGAACACGATGAGACGTGAAGTGACTGTTGAGTTGAGCAGCCAGGGATTCTGGAAAACAGGGATACGCTCTGACGTCTGCCAGGTGACTAAACCGCAGAGATGTCTGATGTATTTTCTTTCTCAATAGCTGTCGTTTACCTCTTGCAAGGGTTTGCTGTGATTCCAGGCTGAAAAACCAAATGGAAGTTAATACGTTTATCGCAATAAGTTGTGTTGATTTAGGAAACTGTTGTAGTGTCCTGTCCACTCCCTCCATGCACAAAAGAAGTTATTTAAAAATTTTAGTTTTCTTGCCAGTGGTCAGTTAGCACAAGGGAGAGGGGGTAGGCATGACCAGCTTGAGGCTGCAGCTTAGCCAAATGTTGAGTCTAGTGTGGAACTTCAAGGCTGCCTTCATCCGTCAATTGTGTTGGTTTTATATATTTTCATTTTAATGTATTTTTCTATTTAGATATTTTTTAAAAACAAATTTTACAGTGGAGCATGAAGAAATATCTTTACTTGAAAGAAAAGAAAGAACAACCCCCCCCCCACAACTAACTTAACTTTTGGATTAAAACAGGTGACCCTCAGTAGGAAGATACCTCTCAGATACTATTTCATACACATGACATCTTCAGGGTACAGATGTTTGTCAGATCCTATTCTGAAGCGGTTGACAACTACCAGCTTTGTGATATGATAAAAAGAAGTGCGATTTTTATATAATACTATATTAGTAAAATTCAAGTAGTTGTAACAGCCAAATAAATATAATAGAGGTATACTTGCAGCGTTTTTTTAGTTGTTGTTTTGGAGATGTTATTTAAGACTTAAATGCTTACAATTTAATATTAATGTAACAGCATGAAGTATAAACTTTGGGGGTTGCTAGGCAAAGGTATAAGTAGAAGTCCTGTTTATTGTCTTAAGAGTCTGGTAAGGCCAAAGGGGAAATTCTAACAGGAGAGAAATGCTAATAACTGAAATCACTTTTCTTCTGTTTGAAACTTTTCTTATGATTCTACTATTGCTTCTGAAGTTGAAGAAACAGAATAGTGGAACAGTATCTTCTCACATAGCTGAGGAAAATTACAGCCCTTTCATAAGTTTTTGTTGTGAACTGTATCTATTTTTACAGGTTAAGTAAACAGTGTGTATTTCTGATTTAGGAGCTTTGAAATGATTCTGTGTTATTCATAATATCTTCTGTGATTCATCTCGTACTGTCTTGTTGGATATTCCTGTTTCGTTTTGTTGATGAAGGACAGCAAAACACCAAAGAGCAATGAAAGTAAAGCTATTTCACATTTTTGTGCCATCTGCAGCCATAACATCTAAATTAGCCAGTTCTGGTATGAAGGTCCTTTTGATTTGATTTCTTTGAGAGGCCAAGAGTAGGCAAACTATATGTTTGTAAAATGAAAGATTACTGCTGTTGCTATGTGCTTTTTCCCGGATTAAAGACTACTAAATACGCATAAATCAACTCTGTGGGCAAAGCTAAAGAGCAGTGATTTAAAATTAATGCTTTTAAAAGCATTGCAGTTTAGAAGATTGAAACTCTTTTAAGTCACTCTGATCGCTTATAGTTGCTCTAAGTTCCATGTAACAGTAATGACACTGGTCTTTGCAGTCTCAGAAATTAACTGCTTTAAGGGGGAGAAAAAAGGCTGAGTGAAATGTTCCAAAAATATAAAATGGCTGTGTCTGCCAGGCTCACTTGATTTTATCCAGCAGATGAAGCGCACTACTTGGCTACTAAGCTGGGCAGCACTTGCTATGCAGCCTGGCAGGATGGGGCCATGCTGAGAAGTTAACCGCCCCATTGTTTCCTGTATTGCTGCTGTTGTGCCCTCAACAGCTGTGTTAAGTGTTCAGGGTGAGGAGAGAAGCAGTGCATTTCAGAATATTTCAGCTCACCTGGTTCTTAGTAGCTTCAGGTCAAGAGTGTCTGCCAGCCTGGGGGATGGTGGCACTAGCTAGGGGCACCTGAGAGTCCCTGCCGTGCCATGCCAGCTGCAGCAAGAAAAGAACATGCAGCAAGAAAAGAACATGCAGCATAGTTAAAGTCATATATATTTAAAAACAAAAAAGAAGTTGCTTGTGTGTTTATAACCAGATGCAAGTACCAAGGTTATAGGACAACTCCTGTGGCCATATGATTTCAGGAGATTTTTTTTTTTTTAATCACTAGCCATTCTTAGCCTGATACAATATTCAGAGCATAGATATTATTTTCTTATAAAGAGATAAATACATAAAACATCAGAAACATCAGGTGCATCAAATAGCTATAATCCAACACGATGCACATTAATTGAATCAATGAAGTATTTAGTGCCATGAAAGCAGCACTTTGTCAATGTAACTGCAAGAGTCAAATTGAAGGCCTTCTGTGTACTCCCAGGGAGGTGTCAATTCTTCATTCCTTGCACCACAGCTGATAAAAATCTGAAACTTTATATTTCAGTCCTCACAGTTAGGGCCACATGTATTGGTATAAAGATTATTAAACCTTGCTTGAGGGACTCTTTCTGCTTAGTATAGTGGAACAGACAGACATGGAAGCAGAGTTGTCCCATGAAACAATTTTTGGGTTGTGTTTTTTTTTGTTGTGGTTTGGTTTTTTTTGTAATGAATTCCTTCTAGGAGGGAAGACATAGGAAGCACACCTGTACGGTTTATATGGAGATAAGAGGGGTGTTCCCCTAGCTTGTAAATTACCCTAAGACGACACTAAATGGTGGTAACGAAGTAAAATTTCACTTAGACTTACTCAGTTTGCTTGGAGTCGTTTTGCGTTTTTCTGCTATTCAGAGATCCAGAGAGTTTTTCTTGCTGTTAACTAGTTACTTCTATCTGGTAGAAAAGGACCTGGGGGTGGTGGTTGACAGCCAGCAGAACGTGAGCTGGCAGTGTGCCCAGGTGGCCAAGAAGGCCAACAGCATCCTGGCCTGTATCAGCAATGCTGTGGCCAGCAGGAGTAGGGAAGGAATTGTCCCCCTGTACTTGGCACTGGTGAGGCCGCACCTCAAATACTGTGTGCAGTTTTGGGCCCCTCACTACAAGAGAGACATTGAGGTGCTGGAGCGTGTCCAGAGAAGGGCAATGAAGCTGGTGAAAGGTCCAGAGCACAAGTGTTATGAGGAGCAGCTGAGGGAACTGGGGTTGTTTAGCCTGGAGGAGGCTGAGGGGAGATGTTAGCACTCTCTTTATAAAAGACCTGAAAGGAGGTTGTAGTGAGATGGGTGTTGGTCTCTTCTCCCAAGTAACAAGTAATAGGAAGAGGAAATGGCCTCACAGTTGTGCCAGGGGAGGTTTAGATTAGACATTAGGAAAAATTTCTTCACTGAAAAGGTTATCAAACATTGGAACAGGCTGCCCAGGGATGTAGTTGAGTCACCATCCCTGGAGATATTTGAAAGATCTGTAGATGTGGCATGGACATGGTTTAGTGGTGGATTTCAGGTTAATGCTTGGACTCTATGATCTTAAAGGTCTTTTCCAACCTAAGTGATTCTATGATTACCTTCTAGCTATGTGTACAGTTCTCAAGGATTTCACAGTCTCTTGCTTAAACTGAAAGTATTGCCATTGGTTATTCTTAACTTCTCAATCTTGTGACATTCACCAGTTTTTATTTTCTGCTGTTCTTTCGTTAATGATATGCAGAAATCCATAACATCATTTATTCCGTAAGTTACACATCGTCTGCTTTGTATGCTTCTTTTTCTTGCATCTCTCCACACTGTATACTCATCTTCTGTAACCGTACACATTCCTCTTTCTGAAATCAATAGTGCTAGCCCTCAGATTTTGATTCCCTTAAAACACATCATTCTTTTGAATATATTCATGTCATGTCGTTAATAGGAATGATTAGAGGAACTGAAATTTTATATCAGTGTCACAAAAATGGTCACATGCATAAAATTCTTTAACTACTGACATTTCTCCTGCAGCTCTTACTTTTCACTCCTATGCAAGATTTTTGATGTTGATACCATACTTGCTGTACTACTGCACTGATAAACTATACTACTTGCTTATTTCAACCCAGATCCATCTGAAGTCAGTACTGGTGTAGAATTTTCCTACTTTAAAACACTGAAAGAGGGAGACTCGTCGCAACATGGAGTTAATTTAATTTTTATTGCAATTTTCCCCAACAGAAAAACATTTTCTATTTCTTCAATGATGAAATAGCAACCTTTCTGATATTTTTTTTTAATTTTTTTATTTTTTTTTTTAGCCAGGAAATGCCAGACTACAGAATTTCAAAAAGCTCTTAATTCTTACTTAGAAAGAAATGAAGCAAGGCACTAATAACAGTGCTTGAAAATCAAGTATCTACTGTTGTTTGGTGAAAGCTGGTTAAAGTGGTATAAAGTGCTTCTTCCCTCATGTTATGAGGCAAAGGGGAAATGGTCTGTCTTCATCTTTGGTACTAATGCAAAACTGCAGGGTGTTGAATGAGAAGGTACAAACATACAGCATTGTATTCAGTCGCAGCTTATTGAAATTTGATGTTACTGGTGACCAGACTGGTAGAAGACTGGCTTTATTTATTTAGCCTGGGTGTGACTGTGTCCGCACTGTGGTTGTGCAGATGGACAAATCTGATTTAATTAAGTGCTCTGTTGGTGAGGGTTGTGAAGCAGTGTTGTTTTTTTTTTTTCTCATTTAAACCAAAACAGTAAAACTGAGTCTTGTGACAAATGGAAAGTGTTTGTATTTATAGCTTAGTCAACTAAGTACTCTGTACACTGAAGTTGAATGCTTTTCATTATTGCAATTGTTTTTTAGCACGCAATGATGCTTCCTGTCCTCACTCACCATGTCCGCTACCATCAGTGTCTGATGCATTTGGACAAATTGATAGGCTACACTTTTCGAGATAGGTGCTTGCTGCAGGTAAGAGATGAAAAAAATAAACTACTTGCTGGTTTGTTTTCCTAATACTATTGAGTTTATCCATAATACCGCCTCCTGTACAAACTTGAGAAATGCATTGCATTACCACAGCTTGGACGTACTTGATTACTTCTACTGCAGATCTTTCAAAAGTTTTAGAGAGACTTCTAAATAAAGACATCTATTGTGCATGTAGGCCTACACCTACCTTTTCTCCAGTGGTAGGTCTGGATTTGCTTGTAATGTGTAGAAAGACAAGAATATGCTTACTGAAAAGACTGTCAGGTACATTACTTATTATTTCCATGTAAATTCTTTTTTTAGATATTTGTGAAGAATATGATGTTATTCTGCAGATGAGTGTACATGCCTTGCTTCTTCCTTTTATAGCCTGTTGTTCTAAAAAAGAATAACTTAAGCATTACTTTTTTATTTTGCGTTTAAAGCTAGTGAAAAGGAGTTGGCCAACTTCTGTTCAGCTCTTGATTTCTGCAAGTACTTGATGAAATTTCTGCATTTTCAAACAAGGGCAGGAACTGGAGAGGAGAATTTCTTATTTGTTTTAGATGCATCTATGTTGCATAACCAGTCATTTATGTAAGTGCGTATTTGGAATTGATCAGATCCAGAAGGCTTTTGGTGTGGTGGCCCCTTTCTCCTTATTTTTTTTTTTTTCTGAAATTACTGAAGGGAAATGGAGACTTCTGTTCAGTATTTCCCCCTGAAATAGGCATCATCTCTTTCTACTGACTGGGGCTAAGAAAGGTGAATTTTGTCTAAGATCAAAATATGCAGTTTCTGTATGTGTATGGAGACTTTACTCCCAGACTACTTTAAGCAGAGGTGTACAAGGAAATCTTTAGCTTCTGTTTTCTAGAAGTTGATTTCAAGGGTTTGTCCTAATGAAAGTTACATTAAACATTGAGCATCTTGTAGGATTTGATTCTTCGCAAGCTGCCTTAGTTTTCATATGAAAGATACAAATGCAATGATGGAAATCTTAAAAATGTTGAGACCAAACACACAAACCAAAAAGCAGATTGCAATTGAAGAGGGGAGACAGCCTAAAATCAAGTGCACACACATTAGTCAAATTAATGTTTAGTTATAACGAAAGTACTTTTTAATGCTTGTTCCCTATGCAAATTCATTTAAAACCTACAAACTTGTTCCAGAAGAGAAAAAGCTTTTTCAAAAATGTATGTAGCACCAGTAATCTACTTATGCATAGGCAGTATTAGATGTACAATTTTGCATTCATTTGTACCAGTTTCATCATGACGTATTTTTTTTAAAGTACTGCCTGGGCAAGAAAGATTACACTAATTTAACTATTCAGAGAAGTTGCAGTGCGTCATCCAGTTCAGATGGAGCAAAAGTTGTACAGTTATGACAAACTAATATTAGCATGGAATTAAAAGGGCTTGGAGAAAGTTCTTATTGTTGATTAAATATAATTTTACTCTCTGAAGTAATTAAACTTCTCCAAATGTTGTGTTTGGAAAGCCATAGACAATGTTTGAATCTACTGCTGGAATGTCTTTGCTCACAGCCTGCAGCACCAGTCCTACAAGTGTTTGAGAAGTAACTTTCTGCAGCTCAAATTTGCCAATGTCTCCTTGTTTTATATACAAGGTCTGTGTATGCATACATTTATAGACGCATAGTATTTTTAAGTGTGTATGCGTAAAGAAGGAGAAGATGCACGGGTTTGCAGGATGGAGACATGAAAGCTAGTTGTAGTTCTGTTTGCTGCTGCCGTATTTGTAGTGGTAGTGTCAGCAGCAGCTTAAGCGGTTGATAGTGCTAGATGGTACAAATGTAAACCAGAAGACCAGTCCTGCCATTGCTGTTCACTTCCAGTTAGAGAGTGGCCCTGTATAGTCAGGAGAGAAAGAGTTCTGTGAATAACCATGCCAGAGATAATATACTTGTTTGGGTTTTTTGAAGTAGGAAAGGTTTTTGTAGATATTTAAAAAACCTAAATCAAATATGTGAATGGTTGAGAAGCTCTTCTAGTTGGTCATATTTTTAATATGAATATTTATGTTGCAAAGTTATATGTTTAAATAAGCAAATATATTAAAATCAGGCCAGCAAAGCTGGTAAGCAAAACTTAGGGCAAATTGACAGTTAGTGCTTTTTCTTTTCCAAACTAGTTCTTCTTAAAAGACAAAAAACCCCAGTTAAAGTTAATTAGTTAAACTGATGATTTGGTATAAATTTGCTTCTTTCTGACATCTGAAATGGTACATCGTATATTTAAATTGCTGGAACCAAGCTACTAATTGACGACATCACTTTGTTGCTTTTCTTCAAACTAAAAAATAACAATTATTAGCTGCTAGTCTAAGATTTGTTTTTTCCTCACATTTCTAAAATACATCTAAGCCTTTTTTTTTTTTCTGTGTGTGCTACATTATAGCTTGCCATGACTCATCCAAGCCATCATTTAAATTTTGGAATGAATCCGGATCATGCCAGAAATTCCTTATCCAACTGTGGGATTCGACAGCCAAAGTATGGAGATAGAAAAGTTCACCATATGCACATGAGGAAAAAAGGTATGCTGTTACACCACTACCATTTTACTCTTCCACTTAATCAGTAAGAAAACCTTTTGTCCATTGTTATTTTATTGACCACTGTTCTGAGAGATGCCTTCAGTGGAGGATTTCAATGGTTATACACAGACACCAGTGAGATCTTCTTAAAAGACTGGATTTTGCAAATCCATTGACAAGAGCTGAGAAAAAGCAAGGATAATAAATGGGAGGATGTATTTGCTTTGATTTTTGGAAAGTATTGTTTTCTTAACTTGCTGCTTAACATGGTGAGCAGACTGAAGGATATTTTGTAAAAGTGTCTTATTAATGTGAAAATATGTGGTCTGTCTGCTGCAGAATATTCCTTACCCCTTGAAAGTATATTCAGCTGTAATGAAGGAAATTGTTTATTGTTTATGTAATGTTTGGAATGTCATTTTCATTTAAAGATTGTATTTTTGTTTGGCTCTCTGAATGCAAAAATACAATAATATTGTAATGAGACTTCAGTCAGGCAGAGAGCGGAGGATTATACTTGCTGTAAGTAAACTGTGTAAATAACAGGATGATCTCGTGTACAGCAATTATAAAGTAACATTTTGAGTAATCACTTTCTAAGCATATTCAAATTGAATTAGTGGCTGTTTATTTAATAGTGCATTGTTTATATTTCTAGGAATAAACACCCTGATAAATATTATGTCCCGTTTGGGACAGGATGATCCAGCTCCTTCCAGGTAATGAAAATAATTATTTGCGAGTAGGGAAGCTGTTGCAGAGGGAGATATTTAATAGAAACAACCACCTTGCTGTCAGCAAGAACTTTGGCAAATAGTTGAAATGAAAAGTCATTTTGAGTTGACTTTTATATTACGAAGATATGCTGAATCTCCATTAGCAGTGACATAGTAAATGTTTGGTCATGCCTGCAGAAAACCACTGAGGAAGGTTTTAACAGAGAATTTTATCATTTTTGTTTTTCCTTGAAATGAGGAGGACTAAAAGGCTACCTTTTTTGCTTTCTGCAGAATAAAAAATAGGATTATTTATTGTTGTTATCATTGCTATAAATTGGATTCTCCATCACTTTTCCTTGCAGTAGTACCTTCCTGGCATGGCACCTTGTTAATATGGTGCAATACTGAATGTATCAGCTTTGCTGAATTACTGGTCCAATTTAAAGACATGTAAAACCCATTGATGTTGTAATGTAATAATCCTTAAACAACTAGAAAAAATTCTGTGCAAATAATGTTTAAGTTGTGGTTTATAGTCACAGGCACCATGTTTAGCCAAAGTGAATAAACAAAGCTCATAGGGCTAGTGCAAGAAACAGTTGCATGTGAAATATCCTAAATGCATGCACTAAAGGGCAGAGTGTATTTTAGTTAACTAGTGCTATAACTGGGCCTTTTAAGAGTCATCATTTTGGAGGAATCTCGGGAATGGGAGAAGTTGGTTTCTGAAAAAATTATTGTTGCACTGTTCCCCAAATGCTGTTTCAGCTAGGCCATGCCCTTTTCTTTGAGAGTCAGCTTCAAGTTGATTTCAGCCCTCTTAAGATAATGTGAGAAAAGGCTGAATTGCATTAATTCTCACAAAATAACACACAAATACAAAATCCCAGTTCTGAGAGATCTGTGTGTTCCATTATGTTTCTACACAGAGGAGTTGTAGTTTTGCTCGCACTTTATTGTTTTACACAGCAGAGGTACTTGAATTCTTTCAGCCCATAACAGCCTGCTATTTCAGAAATTACACTGCCTATATAATCATTGATGGAGTGCAAATTAAAATATAAGCTGTCAAACAGTTGAGAAGGATCTTCTGGTTTTAACAAAAAAAGTCCTGTGGCAGTGGTCTTCATTCTGTTACAATTGTATGAAGTCAAAATGGTGCTACTTATATGCTTTGATGTGTAGAGCAGAAATTTGTATACATTTGAAGACACACTCCCATTCTTTTTTAGCGGCTGTGTCTTGTTAGTCCTTTGTTATATAAACAGGCAGAGAGCTTGGAGGAAATGAAACTTTATGCAAAACAAAGGAAGATCAGGAGCAGTGGTGGAAGAATCGCTTAATGGCATCTTTGAATGCATCTTCTTGTACAGACTTTTTTTTCTTTTGAGCTCAAAGGAAGTTAAAGAAAACAGGGCATTTAAAGGTGCTATGAAAAATGAAAGCATGTACTCCCTTGTAGCTCTGCTATACCACTGAATCTTCTGCAGAGTCATCACACCATACAGGTGCTGCTGTTAGTTGCTTACACTTCCCTAGTTGCATGCACAAGTCTGAAGACAGGCTGTTTGCTTCCATACTGGTGCCCTCTGATGGACACAGAAAGCTGATCTCAGTGCCAATCAATGGTACTCTTTCCTTTCTCCATTTGTTAAGCTCTGACAATAGCTCAGAAAGGAACATAGGAAAATTTCAAAGGTGGTGGCGAGTCCTGAGTTCCAAGGTTCATGTAGTAGCTGTTACGTTTTGGAAAGGATTGTAACCCAGACGGTGGGGGAGGCTTCAAGATTGCCTATCATGGCTGATTAGCAATCAGTTCTGATTTGTTGTGTTTTAATTGTATTGTGTAAGTAACCAGTATGTCTTACTTAGCTGATGGTAAACCTTAAAATCCTTTTCAGGATTAACCACAACGAGCGTTTAGAATTTCTGGGAGATGCTGTGGTGGAGTTCTTGACAAGGTAAATGGGGGAATTCTTGAACAGTCTTCAGCTTCGTATGTTATTGTCATACCGTTGGGCCTGATAAGCTTTGCAGTGTCTGCTTTATGACTGTGTATGTTTGCAGTCCTGCCTGATATTTAGAGCTGCACATCTGCACGCAGCTCTCTGAAAATTCCTTCGGTGCTGATGATACAACAAGGAAAATTACAAAATGAAAAGCTGGAGTTTCTGTTTCATGGAGTGCAATTTGAAGTTGATTTGGGTTAGAGACTATTCAGCTACAGACAAGTTGAACTTTGTACCCTTTTTTTAAAGGAAAGATATTTTTCTTAGCATGCCATTTTGTTTCCATGGGTTCTTTTTCTCTAGTTGCAAGTGAAAAGCATTTATGGGTGATACTGAATGTGTTGCAGTTCTTATATTTCCAGTTATTAGGGCTGTAGCTTACGTAATGTCTGTATGTAAATAAAATAGTTGAGCACAAATGTCATTTATTTAAAAGTGATAACAAAAAAAACATGGTTCATCAAAAATAGCTCCAGTTTTGGTCTGTTTTGAGTATTCTGAAATCAGTGAACAAGATAGGGATAATTATCAGTTACCTCCATTGACCTCTCTTACCTGAGTACTAGAGGCAGGCAGTTTGCACAAAGATTATAATCCATTTTCAGCTGCTTTGTTCTACAGTTTTTGATAGGGGATTAGTCCTGTTTACTGTAAAGCTTCTCTTTCAGCAAGTTTGTTATATGAGTAACAAAACCGTCCTTATATCCCCATTCTCTACTAGCCATTAGCTACTCAGTATTAAAAGCTATTAGTCTGTAAAGGTCTCCACCGCCCTTAAAACCCATGACCTTTTCTCTCATGCAACAGCTCAGGCTGATAAGATGGAAGACTTGCTGATTAAAATGTCTTGCATTTTTCATTGTCATTGTTCATCAGCCATCAGTTGACTTTCTGAGCTAACTTGTCTTGATTCAGAAAAAAACTGAGCTACATTTCTGTTCAATAGAGCGTGTAAGCACCTATTTAAGTCTTTTTCCTAACTTTCTTGACTTCAGGTCTCTGCTTTTGTGAATTATGATGCTTGATTAGATTGCCTCATAAGTTTTATTGCAATTTTTTCCTTAAAAACTCTCTCATCCATCTGCAATTTTCTCTCTGTCCTACTGAGTTAATAAAATATTTTAATAATTAGTACCATCTAACTGCCTTATTCATGGAATGTTGAAAACCCTCTCTGTATTAACTTCTTTCTGCCATGGGTTAGATAGTCATATATGAAGATACTCAGAAAGTCGTATATGAAGGTACTCAGAATCATTTATCTATTACTCAGATCTTGGTTGGATCACTGAATTACTTTTTTTTGTTTTGTTTTGTCTCTGTTTTATGAAGTATCTTACTTGCATGATGACAAATACCATTAAAGGCAATTGAAAGCCTGTGATTTTTACTCATTTTTTTTCAGTGGTGTTAGTGACTTCATGCATTTCATAAATAGAGGTTGAGTTCTGTTCTTTGGCTCCATTAGCGTATGTTAAAGTATTGTAAGAAACTTGTAAAACAAATATCCTGAGTGGTGATCTGTCCTGAATCAGTAGTATCATCTTAAAGCACTGCATACTTGCAGCACAGAGTTTCTCAAGGGTGATGGGTCCCTTGTGCTTTATTCCTCAGCATCTTCTAGGTGTCAACCTTGCTGCATCCACTGCTGCTGATAGATAGAAACCTTCAGATGAGAGAACAGCATATTGTTGCAGGGGTTTAGAGATTATGTGCTGCCCAGTAGAGAAACAGTGCTCTTCTTCCCCTGCTGCCAGTGCTATCCAGTCAAATATTATTGAGCGTTGTTTTAATGTTTGTTTCTTTACCTTGCTTCAAGCTGAGTTGCTACCTTGGGAAGGGACCTGTGTTACCAGCTAGGATCTGAGGGAAAGGCACAGTTCCCTAGAGGCACATGTGGTTCATCTTTAACCAAATGCTGATTGATTTTTGTTTTGCCAGTGTCCACTTGTACTACCTGTTTCCCACTCTGGAGGAAGGAGGTTTAGCTACGTACCGCACTGCCATCGTTCAGAACCAGCACCTGGCCATGTTGGCTAAGGTACAGTTTTATACTTCTCTGTATTTGACACCCATAGGTGGGGTACTGTCAGTGCAGGGATTGCTTCTTGAGGGATCTCCCTGCTATGAACATCACTTTCTTTACCATGTTTTTGTGTACAAGATTTGGGATACAGGGACTCTCTTCAGTTTGAAAGTAGGTTTTAAAGATGAACTAGGATTGTCTTCTCTATACCACGTTTTTAGGAGGATTAATTTTTGCAAGCAGAAGGATAAGTTTTTAGGATGCTTATGTTGAAGATGTATCTATATTTACCTTTAAATTTCACAGGTAACGAAGCTGATAGTAGAAATTTAGTGAAGAAAAAGAACCAAACTTTTTTTTATAAAAGGACTTCTTGATAGAATATGTAGGGGGAACATGGAAGCAGGTTGTAGAGGAAATAGGGGAAAAAAATAATCTTGTCTGCTCCCTAACCTATGCAGTCATTTTCAGATTCACTGTGAAAGTGAACTCTTGAGATTTTGGCAAAAACTGCATGATTTCTAACATGTCATCTTTTTGTTCAGTTCTCAGGAGAGGCATGGGGTAGAGAGTGAACACAATGATTTTCCTCCAAAGCTTTCTTTAATGATTTAGATAAGCATGAATTGATTTAAATATTTCAAATCAGGGTTTTGTTTACATATATAGTATTGAACTGCCTGACAGTATTTTAAAACGGGCATCAGGAAAGCTCATATATTCTTAAATTCTGTTCACAGCCTTTATCATTGTACATGGACAATTTTTGAAAAAATTTATTGCAACATTTTTTAAACTGTATTTATATTAAAATATATTACCATTTAAACAATGGTAAACATTAGATACTTCTGCATTCCTGATATCCCAACTTACCCTCCTTTCCTCTTGTATGTCTTACACGATGTTCCTGCTATCATCCCCTGTAATTATCCCCTGCAGTGTCATCTTGCATTCAGTTTACTTCCTCAATATAATTCTCAGCTTCTCAACTTCTCTTGTGCATGTGGAATGCTGTTTTAATTGAGGACCAAACAATAAATTTTTGTAGCTTCTAAGGGACACTGTAGCAGAAATTTTAAAAATAATCTGAAATTTACTGTGATCAAAAAAAATGAGAAGCAAAACACATGCAAAAATGCCTGAATGCAAACTCTGAAAATGGAGATAAGCCTTTGGAGGAGGGGGGGACGCAACAACACCCGAACAACACCTGTTAACAGGAACAAGTGATAATAATCTGTAAGAAGTTTAAATTCGATATAAAACAATTAACGTTCCACTTTTATGTTGACTCTAACGAGTGCTCCCCGCACTTTATGAAGTGCAATGGAACATCTGAAGTGGTAATTCCCTGTGTTCTCCAGCAGTGAATACGCTCTCATTCATTGAAAGAGGAAGACTCTTTTTTTTCCAATTGAAATGTGTCTGAACCACACACCGCAAACAACTTAGTCTTCACTTTTACCTCTTAAATGTACTCCAGGAGGATGAAGTTGAAAGTTAATGACAAATCAGTCAGTAGAAACTTCTCTTCTTTAAAAATCTCAATAATGGTTTTGTGTCAAAAAGATGAATATGTATAAAGAGAATCTAGTAGCTCTTGCCTGCATTCCTATAGCAGAATTATCATATATTATAGAAGATCTCTATCTTAGTACCTGAGATTCTGACTGGCGAGCAGAACTATGGTTTAGGCAACAGATGGATGTTAATGATGCACATTTGAAAGGAGAAGGAAAGCTAGGTGGCACTGCAGATTAAAATACCACTTTTCTGCTTGCAGTGCCCAGAGACTTTTGTTACTGCCACCTGTTGACACTCTTAGAGGAAAAAGACAGACGTTCAATGGATTGTCTGCCAGAGTTCCTGTTCCTCGCTGTTCTACTTTGTCTTCCTGTAGACAAAACCTTTTTCCTCAGTGTTAACTCAGCTCCCTTTCAATGTCCCTTTGGCATTTCTGAAGGCAAATCACATGAGGGCAAACTACGAGCAAGAAGCATGGCACGTTGCACCATCCAGCCAGTATCAGGCTATTTCTCTGTCACACCCTCAGCCTTCCTCTCAAACTCATTCCTAAATCTCACTAGTAACATGTTTTGATCTTGCTTCCCTTGACAATTTGCTTTGATAATTCCTAGATTTCACATGCTATCACATTCTAGTTGCTTGCCTCTGATAAACAAATATGAAATCTTATAATTTTAGCCTATGTCGGAACTGAAACTATGGAGAAAAGCTTTAAAGTTCCCTTAAACCCAGTTGCTGCATAATAGCATAATTGAACTCTAGTGACTAGAAATGGTACTCTCATACTTCTAAAGTCATGGTTTTAACTCTTTCCACATATTCTGCAGAAGCTGGAACTAGATCGATTTATGCTTTATGCTCATGGTCCAGACCTTTGCAGGGAATCAGATCTCCGCCATGCCATGGCCAACTGCTTCGAAGCCCTAATAGGTAAAGCATGTGTATTTGTGTATGTGCAGACAGTTATGGTTTAATATGTCTACATGCCATGTTGACTGTGATGGAGGAGATATGGGTCTGTGTTGAGTAGCATTAGTTAAGGGTAGGGAGTTGTAAAGCTTCTTACATTTTCTTCGTCTTTTCCCATCTCCTGCACATGTCGCAGGTATAACATGATAAGCATGCAGTATTACAATGAAAATCTCATCTTCTATATCCTGCCTCCCACACACTGAAGATGCACCCATTTCATGCTGTTTTGACGCAGCACTTCTGTCTGTCACCACAGAACTCCACCTCTTTGTGCACCACCACCATGG